ATCATTATTACAGTAAACCTGACATAAAATTTAGCCTATTTTCCGTTATGCACATGAAGTGAGTCTTTATTCATATACTTATGATAACCTTTCAACTTAACACATTTATTATGTGATCAACATTAAATCCATTATTTTCTATATAGAATATTGACGAATTTACTTTAGGTACCTTGTGTTAAGCATAGTTTCGCCTTTAACTATAGAGTCTTGAAATTGACATAATAGACTACGAATGGTAAGTTTAAACATTCATACTACTATTGAACACCTGGAATAAGTAAGAAACATACTTTTCCTTAGTTGATTAAAACACAAATCCGATCCAAATCTTTTTTTCTACAAACTGATGCCGATTTTGGCATAGAGGTGATTTCTGTCAAGCATCTACTGAATGAAGTATTTAAAATAGACCGTATCGTAGGTTTATATGACCTAGTTACAAATTAACTTACAAAGAAGATAGACAATTTTACATAGTATACAATTAACCGTTTTTTTTGCAATTTATAAATGCACATCCATTAGGAAAATACATAAGTTGCATGTAATTGCGATGGAAGAAATCGTTCATACATATAATTACTGTCTGGTTTCATAATGAGTTTTCTGAAGCCTTTTGTCATACATAAATTGTATAATGTGTATATCTTTCGGTAGATTAACTTTTATCTTATAAAGAAATTCGATGGGTTATGTAATCATTACATGTTACAAACTAGATTTTGTATTTTTGCATAGTACTTTACTCAACCGTTCTGGAGAATTTTTGCTTTATGAATGATCTATAAACTTAGCTTTATAAGATGAGGTGAGCGAATTTGTATGCATCGAACTGTCAAAATGAAAATTTTCTGCCCTGATATATTTGTCTTATTTCTTAAACGGGTATACAAGATTTTCCAAACTACGGGCTTATTCACTGATATGTGAAAACATCCAGCACAGAGTAAGCATGAATGGAATTGTAATTTACGCGACCAGTCCATGATAATTTCAATCCAACCGACATTCATCGACCAACATGTGTTAAGTAAATGGTGAAAATTCGGTAAGAAATAGTAAAAAGTATGAAAAATTATTTTAGTTGATTGCCACGAATACTTTACGAATGATCTTCAATGACACTTAGAGAGACATAATGGAAGTCTAGTCCATTTTCAGCCAATCAGAATGCAAGCGATATAAATGAATAATTTATTACTTGGAAAAACCAAAAGTGGTTGTGATGAGAATTTAGGGTTAATAGTTTAACTGAATATTAAAGACTAAGGGTTAAATTTAAGGTTAAGAAGTATGGTAAGAGATTAGGTTTGGGATTATGTTTTAGAATTACAGTTCAGGTTCATTGTTGGAAGTCCGGGTTATGAGTCAGCGCTAAGATTAGGAATCTCGGTTAGGCGTTTAGATAAAGAGTAATATTTAGAAATAAAATAGAATGCCATGTAATCATGTTTAAATGATAATGGAATCAGTTCTTTATTTCAAAATATCAAGAATATTCAAGCTACTCTTAAAAGTCCATAAATCCTAGTCCCTATTCTCTTATCTTTCTGTGTTAGTGATTAAACATAGGTTGAGTCTTGTATTTGGCTGTTAAATCAGTTTAGTTTGTTAGTCAAGTGTTTTGTTATCCATCTACATAATACAGGACATTTTCTTTTTCCGAACCACTCACTGATACTGTTCAATAATCCCATAGAAATACATCTCTATTTAAAAAAAAAAATTCATTTTATATTTATTTATTGTATTATCTATCTATAGGTTGATGTAAATTCTCCATCACAATGGAATTCATATTTTGATCGGCTTAATTCATATAAAATTGATCATACATCTAAACTCAAATATCACTGTAATGACGATTCAACACACACTCACCACCATCTTCATCACCAACACATTAAACAATACTGAACAAAATATTAATGGTTTCAATTCAAATTATCATTATAATTCATGAATAATCATTCAATTAAGAGAAAGACAAAAAGGAGTGTTTTTTTTTTCCTTTTTCCAAGAATCAATATTCATAGAAAACAACAAATTTTTATTTATTAGTTTTCTGTAATATTTAATCTTTGAATATTGGATTATTAAATTATTATTATTTTTCAATATAACTGGGGTTTTGTCAATAAGAACGACAAAACAGAACAAGAAATGTCATTGTTTATTTTAATAATTTCATTGTACGTTGATGAGGTTCTTGTTTTATTAACTATTTACTATGATTGAGTTTTTATAATTAATAAAGGATGCCGGCTCAGTGGTCTAGTGGTTAACGGTTCGCTCACGAGGCTAATAGGTCCTGGGTTCGAATCTCGCGGGGTGGGATCTTGGATGCGCACTGCTGAGGAGTCCCTTACTAGGACGAAACGGCCGTCTAATGCCTTCAGGTTTTCCGTAATGTGGTCTAGCTTCAATTGACTCATGAATTCAAATATTAAGTTTATATATATATATATATATATATATATATATATATATATATATGTATAAATTTATTACAATGAGTGAAGTGATATATTATGATGAATTAAGGTATTTGACCATTATAATCTGAACGTATTGCATGTTTATGCTCTGCTTCGCTTGTTTCGGTTTAAATGATTAGTTATTAGAGCTAGCGAGCGTGATATATCCATTTTACCGACGATTTTAGGAAACTTGAAAAAAGACTTTAAAGAGTTTTACCTCATTAATAACCAGTCAGAATGTAAATTCAAATCAAGTTAGTTTGGGGTATCCCGTTGTTAATATTCTGACTGAAATTCGATCGGTCTCGGTCGGGATACATTTATTGTGTGCAGATTTAACGTATATAGTCGTTATAACACACGCTAAGATCGAACAAGTGAGTGGCTATCTGGAATCAGTAACTCTGTGGGTAGCGAGTTGGTATTTTGAAGAGAAGTGTAGCGGTTTCGAGTCCTACAGTAAACATCAACTCTGGTGTCTAGGTCCATTCAGCTGATGAACTCCAAGCAGGACGAAACGCGCATCCTAGATTTTGTTGCTAGCCACATCCTATCTATTGTGTATCAATCAGAATGTAGGTGATACGATGGGATAAGTTTTTATAGAATATATCAAAACTTTTTAAATGATTAGTGAAACTATTATGATTTGAAATTGGTTTGTAAATTTTAAAATCACAGTGTGTACGCCACAAGAGTTCAATTTTGTGACTAGAGCATTTAAATTATGGATCTATGATAAGGTTGTAGGTAGTCCTTTAGTTATAACCGAATAGCCTCAGCTTTATTAGTGTGAACGCCTGTTGTAGGGTTAACAAAGTAATACTTATGGGGGGAGGGTAACGCGAGTTTTATAACCTGTAAGCACTCTGATCGTCAGAAAAGATCGACGTTCCCAACTAGATGTACTTTCTGTTGACAGGTATTAAGGTTGGAACCACTTCATTTCAAATGTAATAAAAATACTCATTTATATAGTTCTGTCCAAAATCCTGAAGACTTATTAGATCAGAGTAAATATTCCAATTTATTACTCCTTCCATAATTATACTTCCGATTATTAGCAACAGATTTATCGATTTCTGTAGAACTATCGGAACCTCCAAGTTGTAGACTAAAATTTGGGAACATTCCCGAACATCTGTTTCGACAATATCGACACCATTTTAATTCCGATATACGAGTCAGGTTCATTGAAGGGGTTGAAATAACTACCAGTGCTACGGCTATTCAGTGGATAGCAAGTATTATATCGTCTCAATTTCGGTTGCGAAAAAGCAAGGAAAATCCCATTCGCACTAATTTCTTTTGTTAACGAACATTACATCTCAAAACTGTGTTATCTCGAGAATCCATACATCGTCTTCTCGTCATTTCGTTTACATAATCACAATGTTAGTCCTAAATCATAACATCCTTGTTAAAACTCATAATTAAACGATATAAGATTAAAATATCCATTTTAAACATATCCCGTAACCTCAAAATCGCCATGTGGAATCTGATTTGTTCGTCAGTATAGTAGAGGCAGATTACTTTATACGTCATAAATAAAGTGTCGCACAAAGTCGTGTATAGGGATTAGGTCTTAGGTACTGAATTACATTTTTCATTAAAAAAATACTGTGACACTGAGATATGAGCTAGTAACTATGTTAGTTATGTTGAAGTAAACGGTCAAAATGTTATATTGGTTTTTTATACACACGATTATGATATATGGCTTATAAGGTCAATTATGTACAGATTTCCACGAATTTCCAATTAGTTTCATTTATATTATTTGAGAAATGATTGAGACTTGATCAATCCATAGAGGTCATACAGACAGGTTATATTCACCAAACAAAGATAGTTCATTTGTAGCGCATATCTAAATATCACTTTGCCTGGCTATCTAAGGACTATAAAAGTCAGTCTAAAGACCAATCCTCGAATATCTAATTAATTCCGGTCACTTAGTTATACCGCAGTCTTCCTTCGAATTCATCCACATAGTCAGAATTGATTCAAAAATACAACTGAAAAACATGCACAACAGAGGCTCTACCTATCCACCAATCAAGTCTAACCAATGTGTATAAAACAGTATATTCAAACCCTCATTCCTTCAAAATCTTGACCTTGTTTACTATCCTCTCTAATCTTTTGTTTCCCCTCTTTCCACTGTTTTGCGATTACTCCCTGAAACTACTGATTAGCAATTATCACAACTTGTAACTTTTCTATTCTAAATATTTATCATGGGAACAGTTATTTTCACAATGACGTTTTTCATTATCTGTTGGATTATTTTATAACTTCATTTTAATACCTAGTTTTTGTAAACAGTTTATGGGACGATATCACTCTGTTTTACTACAGACTACTATTTTTGGTGAATAGTTTACTGTGAATGTGATTGTATAGCTATCGTCTCCGAAATTTCCGACTTACACGGCGCAAATTTTAGGTTACAGTTTATACTACTAATTTTAAATTTCAATAGGTAAAAACGAAAATACAAAAACAACTTCTCTACGCCAACGGATATATTCACATAAAAAATAAATGACAAAATGATTTAACGCATCATCGTTCGTTGACTTAATCAGAAAAAAGATTACCCACTGGAAAGGAAGAAAATAGCCAGCGACAAATTAAAAGGGTGATAAGGTTAATTTATTGGTAAGTTGTACTTCTCTTGCATGATTCTTTTGGTGTTCCGATTTCCAAAATATAGCAAAACAGGTGTAATTATAATAAAAATAACGACAAAAGAGCGATCAGAAAAGAAGAGTGTAGGCTATTTATTCTTATTAATGGCATAACTGAGAATCATGACAATTATAATAACAATAATAATAGTAGTGGTTTTATGAGCTCTGGTATGTAAATATTCGCACAAATATTTTTAACTGCAGTCGAAACGAGAACACTAATGAACAGGGAGGATGTGACTAACAATGGTAAAAACATTTAAAGCATTATTTGATGGTGATAAAAATATGAAGGACAGTCGACACGATTTAATCTTTTCATGGATCATGTTTTTTGTTTATTGATTCACATAAACAACAAGCAACAGATAAATACGTCATGTTAGGTAAGAAAAATTTTAGACAAAAAATTGATTCGTGGAATAAGCAAACAGCAATGATGCAAGCGCAAAAAGGTGTCTCACCGATATATATATATATATATATATATATATATATATATATATATATATATATATATATATCTTACTGACCTATCTATCTGTCTAATAAGATAACACTCTATTCATGACACGGAATGCTAATTATTTTCTAGGCTAAAATGGGGCAGTAGGAAATAAAATGAATGGATAAACAAATAAATATTAATTGAAAGAAATCACAATCAACTATATAGATTGTACTGTTAAATGACATTTTATAATAATACAAGGGAAGCAAATTGTTCTTTTTTCTGGAAAATATATAACTTTAATGGATCTATTCAACTAATGTAAACAGCGAAAAAAGAACCAAGATTAAGCATATTAATCTTATCAAAGATTTGAGGTATGTATGGGAGGAGAAGTGGACGTAGCACAAACAAGATGATAGTTTCAAATAAAAAAGGATGAAACAGTAGGAACAAATGAGTGTTTAAGCAATAAAATTCGATATTCAACTAAAGACTATGAATAGATTAGTTTAATAAAATAAATTCGGTCTGGAACCACTAAAAATAACTAGAAGAGACATAAAGAATGACGCCTATCTAATATCTATTCAACTACTTACACTCAAATAAGTTCTCTTCGTGTATATATTTATATGGTAGTGAGTAATAGAGGCGGTCGAGAATACAGTTTAGTAAAATAATGAATACAAGAAAAAACACAATAACACTAATGACAACGAGAACAATAATCAATCAAAAGGAACATAAGAGAAGAAACCGAAAGAAAAGATGCGTTGAAGCTAAAGTAATAATAATGGTAACCATAACAACAATAATAATAATAGTAACTGTTCATGATTTGACTACTGTGATGTGATCAATTTCCTTCTCAAAAAAATCTTTCCGTTTGTTTCTGGCTTTAAATTAGCCGGAAAGTTTTAATTGCGCATAAAAATAATCAATAAAGCCACAAGATTCATGTAGAGTAACATTGAAATTGATTTCTTCTCTGTATTATTTCTATTATCATCTGATTGTAGGTCATCTGGTTCATCATCGAGAGAACTTTTTAAAATTGATAAATTGTCATTGTCATCACCCTGTTTTGCATCTGGAAAATCATAAGTACACATAAAAACACTAATGAAACAAATAGAAAAAACAAAGGTGTAAAGGTTTATGTATATGGCATGTATTGTTCTCATTAATCGTAAACCCAAATTGAAACCACGAATCGATCCAAGTTGGAGAACCAATGGAAATCTATAACAAATCGATAGCCGTTTCGTCTCAATATGAAACTCTTCAGCGGTGAGCATCCACGATCTCAAGCATGGGATTTGAACCCAGTACCATTCGCTTCAAATACAACTGCGTTATCCCAGAGTGAACATCCAGCTGACGAGTCCCAAATAAGACGAAACGGAAGTCCTGCACCCCACTGCTAGCCACTATCCATCTTTGCTTATAAAGTTAAAGAAATATCGAGACAGTTCGCACAGGATGCATATATGCCACCAAGAGAATAATCGATTGCAGTCCTAAACATCAATGGGAAGATTCAAGTAAACAATTCTAAGTGATAAATAAATAGTATATTTGTAATATCCCAATGAGTAGAAAAATTAGATTTTCTGACGTTTCGTGGCTTAGTGCAAGTCACTTCTTCAGAGCATAGATAACCAAATTAAAATTAATCCAAGTTTAAATAGTACAACGGAACAATGCAAGAATAATATGTGGTCAATCAAAAAGCAATCAAAAAACAGGTCTGAACAAGTTAATGTCATGTCATTTCGGTCACGGTGATTCATAAGTGATATGTATGTAAATTTGTGTGCGTATGTATGTGTGCATTGTTTAAGGATGAAAAATTGTGTGACATTAATGGTGAGAAAGGATAGAGTTTTATTTTGTAAGATGATTGTGTGAATTGTAAATACGATCAAACTGAATGGCTAGGATAGATAGTCCATGTAGAATGTATGGTAAGGCCTTCTTTTCCAATAAGAGCAGTAGGATGGCGTGAGCTGCTATTGCCGATTTAATTTGAAGTTTATTCAATTCTACGAAATTGTTAGGAGGTTTCTTTGTGTACCTAATATGTTCTTTGGATTTAGTCAAGATTTCTCGAGATGAATCTACAATATAGAAGGCATCATAAATCGATACAACCTAATTTGTAGACGCAGTTTTGTGTAGATATGAAAGGGATTTTATCTTTTTAGCGAACTAAAGTATTTCGAAGTGTGTTCGTTGTTTTGTAATATACTTTAATTCTGTATTGTTTTAAGATTCTTTGGAGTTCTTTTGTTGTGCCATGACGGTATGGTAAAACTGCAGTACCAATCCATGGAATTTCATTCGAATTATTATTATAACGCATTAAACCGTCTTGTTTTAATATACTACTGATAATCTTCAAAGGAAAATTATTAAATTGTAAGATACTAATTATATTCTTTTGTTCTTTTTGTTTGTCTTCTTCTGATGTGATGATCTTGTTAGCTCTTCTAAAAAGATTTAAGGCTAGTAAGATCTTAGCACTGAAAGGATGTGCTGAATGGAAGTCAATATAGCGATTAAAATGTTTATGCTTTCGGTAGATGGATAGATTTAGAATTCCATTTTGATTTCTTTTCACTAATCAATCTGAGAATGGTAACTCACTATGTTCATTTTCATTTTCCTAAGTGATTTTGATGTGAGATGAAAGTGTATTTATCCATTTTGGAAAAGATCTTAGATGAGTCTTTTTTATCACAACAAATGTATCATCTACATATCTAAGCCAAATTCGTGGAATAATGTCGTGGGTGAAGATATTGGATTCTATGTGTGCTCTATCCTTTCTCACCATTAATGTCACACAATTTTTCATCCTTAAACAATGCACACATACATACGCACACAAATTTACATACATATCACTTATGAATCACCGTGACCGAAATGACATGACATTAACTTGTTCAGACCTGTTTTTGATTGCTTTTTGATTGACCACATATTATTCTTGCATTGTTCCGTTGTACTATTTAAACTTGGATTAATTTTAATTTGGTTATCTATGCTCTGAAGAAGTGACTTGCACTAAGCCATGAAACGTCAGAAAATCTAATATATACTATTTATTTATAACAATCTACCCAATGCTCAATTTATTCGAAGTTTCACAGGTTGAAACCATGAGTCAATTGAAGCTAGACCCACCATGGAAAACCTGGAAGCACTGGACGGCCGAAATTATCAAATCAAACCTTGGTAATGATACCTATAAATTCTAAGTGAATTCACAGTTTATATAAGTTTGACCTATTATTTCACTGACTCAGACAATTATATCTATGATGAGACTGTTCTAAACGTTTAGCACAAATACGTTATATTTTTCAGAATAACTTGATCTTCTCATTACACTATAGCCTTAATTAACTGAAGTATGGAATGTTTTTTAAAACTTGTTTCGATGGTTATTTATATTATGTGATGTGTGGGAGAGGAAAATAATGAGTGGTTGTCTGTTTAGTCAGACTAGTAGATAGTCTTACATGTACTAGAAGTGTTATATATTCTCCTACGATTATTATTATTGGATTGTTGTCGGTTTTCGGTGTGGAAATATACTTACTTTTTAGTCAGGACAGCCACGTGTTCTTGATCTAAGTTGTGTTGATGTCCTGTAGAATAGACACTGGGAGTGAATCTAGTGTAGATATTCGTCTAGGGTGAATTGAAGTCCCATTCGTGTACACAGGGAAAACCGAATGTTACTATACTATGCTTCTGAATAATCCTAATCCACTAAGATATACTCGTTTAAGTTTAGATCTCACTCTTGATACCACTAGTATGGTTTTGATAAGCAGTAACACATAATGAATGTGTAGAATACCGATTGATAAATAATCGTATTGGTATGATGTGGATGAGGGATAGTGGCTCACAAGACCAGATTATTGACACAAGACCCACCTCTCACCGAAAACGAACGGTCATCAAAGACAAGACGGTTGATCAGTAGAATAGGTTTTTCGATCAAGTAATATAATATGTTTATTGATAGAAAGATACTGTAAAATTTCAGTTCTGTAGGTCGCATATTCCCCAATGAGTTAAGAGGCCAGACTTTTATCTGGCAAATCAATAACTGAGATGACGTTCTGTAAAACTTATTATCTAACTAAAGTTAGGACTTTTGGTAAGCAAACCAAAGACTTAAATTTTTTGGGACTCGCCATCCTAAAGTTGATGTTAGTGAAGAGTCCCAAATAGGACAAAACACGCGTCCTAGATTCCACAGCTAGCCACTATCCATCTCTGTTATCTATCCCAAAAGAGATTGATACATTGCAGTACTAAACATCATTTGGAAGATTTAATCAATAAAAATGAATTTAAGATTTAAAAGGTTACGTTTAATGGGCACGCAGATAATTGATGTACTTTGGTAAAAAACTGTTTTGAATGTGATAAGAAGTGAACTTCATTATGAAATATGTATATAGATATTGACTTACCCAATAACTCTTTCATGGGAATTTCACTCTTCTCAATTATTTCGTCATCATCGTCGTTAGTTTGAGGAAGGGTAACTTTCGTTATTGATTCTGCTGCTTCATCTGAATCCATTGGAAGAATTCCTTTCGGTCTTATGTAACGACATGATAAAAAACCACCGGCAACTTTTTCTGCATATTTACTATCAAATGTTAAACTTAAACGTTCTGCAGTATACATCTGTTTTGGTTGATGTTCTTGTTCAATCAGTTCTGATTGTACAAGTTGCTGAGGTCCAGTTGAACCTGGCCAAGTCGCTGGTATACTATCAGTTAATTGAAATGCTAAACTGACGATTTCATCAATTTCCTAATTGGTTAACAAGGTATTATAGAGTTTAATTTGAAGCAGGTTGATATAAATTGAAGCATATTTTCAAATAATGATTATTTTAGTTGAGCGTTGATAGGGATTGGTTTAATTTATAAACTCTATTCAACAAAGATCGGAGTTATAATTGTACCAGTGGATGACAAAAAAGTAATGAAGTGCCTAGACTAGGAACTGGAAATCATTGATTCATTAACTGGTAGGCTCGTAGATGGTCAATGATGAGAAACCCAAAAGCAGAACAAAAAACACAAAAGTGCCCCCGGATTTCCAATGGTACTCTGAGATCAATTAGCAAATTTTTATTTTGCTGAGAAAAAATTATGACAATATTCTTTGTTCAATACACGACGGTTGCTGTTTCCTATTAGGCAATTTCATTATGTATATCGGTATCCTCCAATAAAGGCATGCTTCAACTGGGCCGAGCATCAAAAGTATGATTTATTAATGTAATGAAGATGTCAATGTTACTTAAATTTTTCAATTTTTATGACACAGTTTTATACGTTTAGGTGTAGGAAATAAAATTGTCTAGCAGTCTCTCTAGAAACTCCGCCTGCAGTCCCTCCGGGGCTACTGCTGGTCCCAAACCCGGATAAAAGAAGAGGGTCATGCATGGGGTTAGCGACCCCATCCCGTAGAAAACTAACTCGCTAAAAAACGCTAACCAGAAAAAATTATTCAAACCTTTTAAACTCTTCCCTGGGAATCAGAAGGTCTTCATTTAGAAGAACTATGACGCCTCATGATAAAAGCCGATTTCCTTCGGAAGTCACGAGGCCGATGCCCCTTCTGACAACCAAAGCAACCACTTATTTAGGTACATGGAATACTCGTACAATGTGGGAGACTGGGAGAGTCTTTCAAATTGCTTCAGAAATGAGGAGATACAACCTAGAGGTGCTCGGAATCAGTGAAGCACGTAGAACGAAAGTTGGACAACAAACGACTAGCTTCAGGAGAGCTTCTGGTATACTCCGGCCATGATGAAGAAAATGCCCCATATACACAAGAAGTTGCATTGATGCTGTCCAAACAAGCACAAAAGGCACTTATAGGATGGGAATCTCATGGACCAAGGATCATCAAATCCTCCTTCAAAACAAAGAAAGAGGGCATTTCCATGAACATCATACAATGCTATGCGCCTACCAACGACTACAGTGAAGACGCTAAAGATCAACTTTACGATAGGCTGCAGTCAGTCGTTGATAAATGCCCAACAAAAGACCTGACCATTCTGATGGGAGATTTACACGCCAAGGTTGGAATGGACAACACCGGATATGAAGACATCATGGGACGACACGGACTGGGAGAAAGGAACGAAAATAGTGAGAGATTTGCAAACCTATGTGCCTTCAATAAACTGGTCATAGGCGGCACCATATTCCCACATAAACTCATTCACAAAATCACATGTACTTCGCTGGATCACACCACGCAAAACCAAATCGACCATATCTGCATCAATAAAAAGTTCAGGAAAACAATGGAGGATGTGATAAGCAAGAGAGGAGTTGATTTAGCATTAGATCATCACTTGCTGGTCGCCAAGATGAAATTGAAACTCAAGAAGCACTGGACAACGGGGCGGACAATGTCACAAAAGTTCAATACGGCCTTTCCTTTAGGATACTGACAAACTCAACAAATTCAAGATAGTCCTCAGCAACAAGTTCCAGGCCTTTCATGATCTACTCAATGGAGAAGGAATAACTATGGAGAGCAACTGGAAGGGGATCAAAGAGGCAATCACTTCAACATGTCATGAGGTCCTGGGTCACAAGAAGCACCATCACAAGGAATGGATCACTGTTGATACACTGGATAAGATTCAAGAAAGGAGGAACAAGAAGGCAGCAATCAATACCAGTCGAACAAGAGCAGAAAAAGCCAAGGCACAAGCTGAATACACAGAAGTAAACAAACAAGTGAAGAGGAGCATCAGAACCGACAAACGTAAATATGTGGAAGATTTAGCAACGACGGCGGAAAAGGCTGCAAGAGAAGGAAACATGAGACAACTGTATGACACGACAAAGAAACTCTCTGGAAATCGCCGCAAACCAGAACGACCAGTGAAAAGCAAGGAAGGCGAGGTAATCACCAACATTGAAGAGCAACAAAACAGGTGGGTAGAACACTTCAAAGAACTCTTGAATCGACCAGCCCCACTGAACCCACCCAACATCGAAGCAGCACCCACGGACCTCCCAATCAATGTTGGCCCACCAACAATTGAAGAAATCAGCATGGCCATCAGACAAATCAAGAGTGGCAAAGCAGCAGGACCAGACAACATTCCAGCAGAGGCACTAAAAGCAGACGTAGCGGCAACTGCAAGGATACTCCACATTCTCTTCAATAAGATTTGGGATGAGGAACAAGTACCAAAAGACTGGAAAGAAGGACTTCTGATCAAAATACCGAAGAAAGGCGATCTCAGCAAGTGTGATAACTACAGGGGCATCACTCTTCTCTCAATACCGGGAAAAGTCTTCAACAGGGTATTGTTAAACAGGATGAAGGACTGCGTAGACGCCCAACTTCGTGACCAACAGGCAGGATTCCGTAAGGATAGATCGTGTACAGACCAAATCGCAACTCTACGGATCATTGTGGAACAATCAATTGAATGGAATTCATCACTCTACATCAACTTCATTGACTACGAAAAGGCATTTGATAGCGTGGACAGAACAACACTATGGAAACTTCTTCGACACTACGGCGTGCCTCAGAAGATAGTCAATATCATACAGAGTTCATATGATGGATTACACTGCAAAATCGTGCATGGAGGACAGTTGACAAAGTCGTTCGAAGTGAAGACCGGTGTTAGGCAAGGTTGCTTACTCTCACCCTTTCTCTTTCTCCTGGTGATCGACTGGATCATGAAGACGTCAACATCTGAAGGGAAGCACGGGATACAATGAACAGTTGGACGATCTAGACTTCGCAGATGATCTGGCCCTTCTATCCCAAACGCAACAACAAATGCAGGAGAAGACGAACAGTGTGGCAGCAGCCTCAGCAGCAGTAGGTCTCAATATACACAAAGGGAAAAGCAGGATTCTCCGATACAACACAGCATGCACCAATCCAATCACAATTGACGGAGAAGATTTGGAAGATGTAAAAACCTTTACATATCTGGGCAGCATCATTGATGAACAGGGTGGATCTGATGCAGATGTGAAGGCGCGGATCGGCAAAGCAAGAGCAGCATATTTACAACTGAGGAACATCTGGAACTCAAAACAACTGTCAACCAACACCAAGGTCAGGATTTTCAATACAAATGTCAAGACAGTTCTACTGTATGGGGCAGAAACCTGGAGAACTACGAAAGCCATCATCCAGAAGATACAGGTGTTTATTAACAGTTGTCTACGCAAAATACTTCGGATCCGTTGGCCGGACACTATTAGCAACAACGTACTGTGGGAGAGAACAAACCAGATCCCAGCGGAGGAAGAAATCAGGAAGAAGCGCTGGAAGTGGATAGGACACACATTGAGGAAAGCACCTAACTGCATCTCAAGACAAGCCCTCACATGGAATCCTCAAGGCCAAAGGAAAAGAGGAAGACCAAAGAACACATTACGCCGGGAAATGGAAATAGACATGAGAACAATGAACAAGAATTGGATGGAACTAGAAAAGAAGGCCCAGGACAGAGTGGGTTGGAGAATGCATGTCGGCGGCCTATGCTCCATTAGGAGTAACAGGCGTAAATAAGTAAGAAAGTGTCTCTAGAGAATAAAGAAGAAATCAAAGTATTAACGTCCTATTTCAAAGATTTTTGAATCGAGAGACTAACAAAACTAGGAGATCGCAACTATTTAGTCCTTCAAGTTACACTATGGGAAGTTTACATTTCAGTTGTTTAAGATTTCCCTAAAACAAACAATGTGGTGTAAAGGTTAGAATAAAGGGTTTAACCAACTCATTGACGTTACTCATCTGAATGTATGAAAATTAATTGCTTTTTTAACAAGAAAATTAGTCCAGAGATCCAAGAATAATAAGATAGAAAGGAAGTACAAGGAGATAGTTGCATGCGTTCAAACGGGTCGTAGAAAATTGTGGAATGGCAAACAATTTAAATTTGAATATTTTGTAAACATATCAAGTTGTCATACAGTCTAAAAGTTTAAATAATCTGCACATGATGTTGAAAAATCTCCATTTCAATCCTCACCACTTGGCAGCCCTATCTTTTTGGTGTGTGCCCTCATTGGAGTAAACCACATCTATCTTTTCTACCCTTATGTCTCTGTATACCTTTGAACAAAGTGACAAAAGCTCATAAAATTATTCACATGAATTTGCTTGGAGTTTTGTTATTATTGGTAGATAATAAATAAATGATAAATAATAATTCTACGCTTAATACCTCTAAAGAGAAAACTTCATCTCTGAACACTATGATTTTTCTGTAATCCATTTCCTGACTACAGCAACATTAAAAAGATGTTCATTCTCATTAATACAGTATTCTACAAGGAATCTACGATGGGACCACCAATTAAATTAATCAAAATACAAACTATCGCTAAAACATGAGATCCTGTAGTAGGCCATCTGTAATTCCGTCTTAAAAATCGAGCATAAAATCATTCTGATTGATCGGTTTCATTTATTCCAAGGCTTTCAGTATGGTTTAGTTCTATCTTGATCAGTTACAAAATAAAAAAAATTACTTAGTTGCTAGTTTCTTCTGACTGAACACTAAATTAAAAGTAGCTAGAGGACCGATATGAATTAAGGGTTAGACAGTTGTTTATCGGTCACTGATATATTAGATCACTGATCATACAGGTAGTAATGGCGAAATAATCAATAGTCGGATTAGACAATACAGTTGCTCTTATAATAATGAAACAATCACATGCGTTCCAAAATAATGTACGAATCTATACTTTTTAAAGATATAACACTTTGATAAGTTATAACACAATAAAGAAATATTACTGTACTAACTTTTCCTTCCAATGACTTTGTATTCCCATCAGTTTCATGTTCATTTTCTTCATCTTTTGGATTGGAATGTACAATCGTAATAACTTTATCTGGATTATTATCAGTATTCAATGGAATGTAAACCCATTGTAAGCGATCTCTAGAATGTGCTGGATATCCTTGACAATGTACATTAATCTGACCGTTTTCCAATCTTATTGGAGTAAGTATTTTCAAAACTATAATTAAAAATATTTGTATATTGACAATGAAAAATAATTTTTAGTAATATGAGGTTTTGTATAGATTGCGGAATATCTATATTTTAAATCACGAACTGATCTTAACTGGACCATTAATGGAAAACCTGGAAATTAGGTAATAACACTGTTGGATCCCAGTTCAATGTTCTAGAGGTCATTTGTTTGAACTCTCGACAGAAAGTCCTGGGGTTTCACTCCTGGATATGTGGTCATGGATTTGCACTGCCAAGGAGTCTCAGACTAGGAAGAAAAGGTCACTCAGTGCTTCCAGGTTCTCAGTGGTGGTCTAGGTAAAAAAAGTTCGTCATTGAAACTTTGAAAAATAATCATCTAAAAGTAGCGTTAAAATTTGTAGTGATTATATATTGAGTAATTATGACCAATATTGTGTGCACGGAGTCGCCTTCTAAGAAATTCAAAGTACTTAGCCCCTTTGATAAATTTAGATAGTGTATTACGAAGACGAAGATTATCAGAACTATGTGATGTATCAGTGCAACACATTTCGAACAATCTGACCACACATATACTTGTTAAAATCATTCATATACAAAGATAACAGGTCAACTAGACTAGAAATGGAGGCTAAGAGGATAAAAGGATAATAAAGAGAATAATAAGCTTATATTACCAGGGTAGGTTAAAGGTGAGAACAAACTGTTTTTGGATACTTAAAGGGGAAGTGGATTTTCGCACTGTCAAAGCTTATATAAACATTAGTATATGCCCTTTTTCACTCTTGTACAACACCACAAAAGCCGTGTTAAGATCAATTTAATGACCTGTTTCAACTGTATTTGGTAGTAGATAAGGATAGATATTTGTAATCTCATATTGGGTCATTTGATTTTCTTTGTTTTTGCAACCATTTACATGTTCAGACACGGTAATTTGGAGATGACGATTAATCTTTCCTATGTCAAACCTTAATCAGCGATGTTGCGCGACAATCTTCCATTATCTTCGGTGGGTAACTGCCTCACACCCAACACGGTTGAACTCCACTAGTGACGGCCTCTCACTAGAACTCCACAATCCCAAACTGAAGATTTATAATATCAGTAAAGTTTCACGAAACAGTTAATTAAAAGTGTAGAAACTTTTAATTTGACAAAGTTCTTCATCATAGTGAAACCTATTTGATTATTTTAAAGAACAAAACGATACTTAAAACCGTACTCTCCTTCTTATCATATTGTAAAATTAAAAAATGTGGCCTTGATGAAGAATTTAATTTATTAGGTAGGGCTTGTATCTAATCGATAAAATGTGGATTCGCATAATTACATTTTAAGAAAAATATATTGCTTTTCCATTGTAGCTTTGAATCTCAACGACTGGAAATTCACTTTTTTATCCGTTGAAAAAATCAATGGTTATTTCAGGTTAGTAACACGGTGGATACAATTTTTTATGTGAAACACAAGTGGATATTAGCACTGAAGTATATATACATATATTATAGATCCCACTCCTGGTCATTATCCAACTTTAATGCTTCCGCTTCTTTCAAACTTCGTTTTTATCAAGACTTGTCAATGTTATATGAATGTAATTGAAATAATGATTATGGATCTCTGGTTACATTTAACAATTTACAACAGCATTATATTAAATAAACAAAATCTCTCCTTGAAATTTCCTGTACTCTCCTACAGAGATGAAGTTTGATGCCTGACTAGTTGATTTTTCTTCACTGAAACCTCAAATTATTATATGATTGAGTACAGTAGTTTAACAGCTTATCAGTGCTTCCTGGTTCTCAACTGAGGTCAATACATGACAAATACTACCTACATATTAATGCAAGCACTTACTATGATAAATAACTAACTAGTTCAATTATTTATTTCATTGCTAACTACAAATCTACTGAATGTTCGGTTACAACTATTAATATAAAGAAAACGATTTGTACTCATTGAACATGTTAGTGGTTAGTTGGATCTAGTAGTTTAGTTGATAATACATCAGTGTTTGAAGAGCAACTCTCCAGATTCAAATACAAGTGTGAATACCAACACTATAATGTAGGTTTATCGAAATGACGAATTTCAAATAGGATACAACACGTATCCCGGATTCCACTACCAGATAATAAATTAACTTTACCAAAACATGTGACTGTATGGTAATCTGCTCAGAATGTATACATGTTAATAGAGTTTGGTTAATTTTAATCTTTAATATCAATATATCTGGAAGAATACAATCCTTTACAAATTAATAAACATTTTTGTAATACTACACTTACCAGATTTCAATGATATTTTAATGGTTGCATGTGTAATTTTAGAAAAATCATTCGTCATTACACTGCCAGTTTCCATTCGGTCAATATTCATTGCTGTCTGAATATTTTGTATTGCGCACATAAATTCACCGATAATTCCAGGTGAATTTTTTACTTTTAATTCTGACAACCAAACACCTGATGATGATGTTTCTTCAGGATTCTTTTGTTGTATAGTAATATGTTCAATAGTTTGTATTGCTTCAGTGATTTCTAACCATGGTGAATTTGAACTTGGTCGTTTATACCAAACAACTGATTGATGTAAATCACCCAAATTTGCAGTACAATCAAGGATGAGAGTTTTTCCAGGTTTATCAGAACTTTCAGGGGATTTGATCAAATTAATAACTGGGAAAAAGGAAATAAATAGGGAAAATGTTGAAGACTACATCTTTTTGTAAAATATAGGCTAATGCATTTTAAAAAAAATCAGTTCTCTTTAGGTGGATCAAACGTTTTAGTGAGTGCTGTAAAGAATTCAAAGAGATTGTATAACCTTAGCATATGTTGACTGACCGTATTGATAAAAAACATAGATCTTCTACTCACTATTCGGGTAATTCCTGACGAATTAAATTCGAGAACACAATGTGAGTGTGACGACGGACCACGGGGGTACTCGAGGAAGCTGTAAGAGGCTCAGAAGGGGCCGAAGATATTTCATCCAATCACCTTCTGGAAGAATATCCCAGAATTCCTATGTGTAGCTTCCCGACTAGACAATGCTAATAACCCCCTGTATGAGGATTGAAAGACTGTAATGCTGATTTTGTTCTTACTAAAAACTATAAATACCTGACAATTTTGTACTATAATTGGCACTGTCTGGGAATAACATTCCTTTCATTAGTCCTCTGTCTTCTCATTGCGACTTGGGAGGGTTCTGGCGTTCTAGTGCTCACGTTATACGCGGTATATCAAGAACAACCTTCTAGATATAACAGTGAGTATATGATTTTAACAAACCATTTGAAGTTGAGAGATTTATATGCAGTAACATTAAAGCTTAGCTTCTGAAGATAATAAAGAATGTTTTACATAATGAGATCAGTTTATTGCTAGGGATGAGAAGTAATTTGAAGGGGGATAGGACTGATATATGTTAACTTTAGTTCGGACGTTTATCAGGAAAGCTGTTTACCACCGCTTTCGTCTCAATAACTTAATTTATGTATGTATATTTCGAACAGATTTAATTTATTCTAGTTGACCTGTACATCCGATGTTTATGTTTCGCTGTCACACCAAATAACTATCCCTCTTCAACTTAAATAGACAATCTTGAAATACTAATAATTGTGTGCAAGTACCGAATTTTTTGTACTGTTCAAAAATTTAATAGTCAATTAATGGAAATGAACAGTAATCTATTAAAGTTGATACATGCCACTTCTGAACTGTAATCACAGTATAACACTGATGATAGGACATTCAGACTTATGCTGGAAGGGATTATTTTCTTCATGCACCAAAACGCAAACAAAGGATTCACTTAGATTCCAATCGTACCGAATGCATCTTAAAGATATGCTTCTCTGACGAATACCAAGTTTAGAAAGAAACCTAGGTTTAATGATTCTTGTCGATTATTTATAATCACTAAAATCGGTGGAACAGTTGAGAGATGAATGGTATGAATCAAAGTACAATATTGTGCTAGACAGGAATATATTATACTCGGTAGAACACTGATTTTTTAAAATCTACAAATATACATAGGATATGACCACATTTTCATCTTTATTTCAAGAATCTGTCAAATTGAACCTTAATCTTGCTGTGATGTGCAGCAAGTGAAAGTATGCTGTGATTAGCCATTGGTCGTGTATAGACAGATATTTAGCTGACTAACTATTCAATATGCTATTTCCTTTTCTGTCATTGATTTCTACTCGGGACTTACTAAGTGTAATGAATGAAGTACTGTTCAGTCTGTATCCTCTGGTTCCCTATTATTGGTCGTCAATCCTGCATCTGGTATGAAGTGATCCAGTCTGTGTATAACACATCGATTAGAGTATCTAATATAAACATAGCATAATCTCGGTGGTCAATCGTATGATAGTAGTATATCATGGAAAATGGAAATATTTTAATCCACCCATTATATCAGCTTATCAATTTTAAGCATCTCAGAAAATAATTATTGATAGATTTTTTCTTAGTTCTCACTTTGTTTTAAAATACATTAAAAGGTATTTTTATTCACGTATGGGATTTCGCTCAAATCTTAATTAGTCCTTCTCAAAAATCTGATCAGTTGGGCAATATAGCTTTACTTTGATTCATAGATCATTGAATAACAATTAGAAGTCACAATTAATTGATTTTGGATGTGTATATTACCTAACATTAAGTACTTGAAATTTAATAAAGCACCATCAGAAACTATTGGAATCCGAATAAAGCAATCTCATTAGAGTTACGAAATACATAGGAAGTAGAATTGTGTTTATTATTGACGCCATGCGATAATGAAGGAAAATGTACTTTTGAATGTACAGACAATGACAATCAATTCCAAACAACATTTTAAATATAATGTTTTTGTTCAATATAGTGTACACAGTGACGAGTTTTCTAATTTTGATTTAGTATAGGGGAGTTTATGGAGATTATGGAACTTTCATTCTTTTAATAACAAAATGATTTTAGCACGATAACCTTTGTAAACCTGGAAGCATTGAATGTTCTTTCTCAGTACTAGTATGAAACCTCTCAGCGGTGCCCATCCATGGGCCCGCAACCAGCATTCAAGCACAGGACTCACGGACTTTCATGAGAACTCTTCAACTCTAGACCTCAGAGTCACCAGCCAATACTGTATGTGTCTAGCTTCCATCAATTTACGACATCACACAACCCTCACCCTATGGTAGGACGAAACAAGATTTTCAACAGTGCTCTAGCTAAGATCATTTCGTGATTAAAACTATGAAAATTTTAATTAGTTTAATGAACTTATCCATTAGTTACGTGGTTATGAGTCAGACTAAGTTTTAGAGCTAGTGATACTATCCGGCTGCCCAAACTGTTACTTAGACTGGTAGTCACATTGCAAAATGATCAATAAAATTTGATCTGTATTAAAGGGGAGGACTAGACGAACATGTCACTGTTTGTTACTCAGTGATCAATCATTCTTTTAACTACTCATTAAAAACCAGAGGAACATACCTTCTTTCATTTTCAAACTAAATGTTTGTTTATTGTTTGATGGTGAGTGCAAACATGTATATTTGCCAACTTTATTCAAATTAACTTTTGGTATAATTAATTTAATTGACAATTTTACATCGTCGTTTTCATCTTTTATAGTGTATGGTTGATCATCATTATCATCGTCTGATTTCATTTCATTCGTGATTTCAATTTTCTCACCAGATGGTAGCATCCAATCCAATTGTCCAGGACTAGCTGTACGACATGTGATTATAATTTTCTCACCGAATTCAACGATTTTCGAATTAATATTAATTTCCAAATCTATCAGACGCATGAAATTAATAGAGAACAATAATTATATAACAATGTTGATGGAAAATATTTGAAAATGATGAATAATTAAGGTACAGGAGCATACAAGTCAGTTTACCGATATTTTGAATTAAATTTTGATTAGATCTGACATTTATGAGCCTAATTCACTGACAGTAATCGATAGAAATTGGTTTCAGTGAAGATACCAATAAAAGTCAGGAAGCACTGGGAAGCGACTTCATCCTAGTATGCAACCCCTCAGCAGTACGTACCCACGGTTTAGCAAAAGAATGGATCCAAAACTTTTAGGTCTCGCTACGAGCGCTGAATCTTCAAACCATTTTCATGGTTTTAAAATCATGAACTGATCTTAGTTATATCACCTTTGAAAGCCTGGAAGTACTGGACAGTTGTATCATCCTAGCACGGGACTCCTCAACAATGTGTGTCTACAACCTCGCAGCCGAGAACATTATACAAGGCCTTCGATCTCACGCGAGAACGCTTAACCTCTAAACCACTGAGCCGGCATTCAACGGTGGTAATGTCTAACTCCAATCATTTCATAATTTCATAAGAGGCTCACCCATTGTCTGAGGTAGATAAGTGTCCCTTACTCAACACGGTTGGACTTCACTGGCTACGGCTTCTAACTAAAGAACTCCAGGAATTGTATCTTGAAGCTAGTCACTAGTGCAGACATGATTATTATCACTATGGGGTTGTGGAAATAATAGAGTTCAAAGACATTTGATTATATCAATTCAGATAGCAACAATTATAGTCACCCCTTATTGCCTCTTACAGTCTTAGTTCAAAATGAATTATAAACTGGTCATTTTTTGATATGATCCATTCGTTTCAATATTTTCTTTTCTATTGTCTTTAAAGTGAATACTTTATTCTTTCTCTTAGTCTTCTGATATGAGATGTAGCAACCTGAACTGACACACACACATACACTTTCGTTTTAGTTCCTAGTTTTGGTTAAAACTGATTGAATATCGAGTTAAACTGATATAAATAATAGTAACCATTCATTAAAAAAAAAGCTTATAGTGTAACACATACCACTAACAGTCACAGTGACCTTATGCAATATTGCTGGTTTATTCATTAGCTCCGATATTGATGGCCTTATGAAACAAGCATAAACACCACCATGTTGTTTATTGACAGGATCAAATATTAACGATTCCATTGCATACCATAATGGTCCAGATTGTGCTTCTTGTGTTTTTAATGAACGACTACCATCTGGTAAACGACCACCATCAAATAACTTCCATTCTAAATTTTTTTGTGATGTATCATTTGGTCCAACCGATCCAGTACAGTTGATAACTACACGTTCACCTGGTGATATAAACACTTCTTCAGTTTGTACATGTACTTCTACAATAACAAAAAGAGAAAAAAGAGAAGTTACATTCAGAGGAAGTGTGGTATTTGCATAAACTTTGGTGGTGTTTTGTTCTCAGATCTGGATATTTCCATTATGGGGTTTGCGGCTGTCATTCTAGACGGCATCATTATGTAGAAGTAAGCGTTTCAGTTATTTTATTTCTATATGAAGTAGGCGATGATGACGTTGACCAAAATGTATGACGAAATCTTCACAATTAAACTATCGAGCTCAGATAAAATATCACCATCGAAATCGTCTACCTTATCTGTAAATCTCTATCGTTCGTATTAATTAATTTATTTCATAGATTTGATCCCACCAATGTATATGTTCACAGTGATTTTTCCTTTACATCCCAGTATGATGAGTGCAGAGAAAAAACCAACTCGTGCCTCCCATTTCTCTCAAATTTCAGATAATATCAAAGCATTCATTCGAGGGTTTCATAAGCTAACAGTTCAATTATGAATGTCTAAAACGAGACACTACAAAATCTTACAGATAATACTTTAATTTATTACGTCATGTTTTTGCATGACACACAAGGCTTGACGTTTTTGACGATTAGTTACCCAACAAGTCATCACTGTTAATTTGTATTTATCAAAGCCGACAGAATTCAAATTTTACAAACATAATGATATTACTGTACATTTGATATTTTAATATTTAGATAAATAGAAATTCTACAACGTCTTCAATTATAAGGCGAACAAGTCAACATATATGCATTAAGAAAAACCATAACGGAAAATAACAGAGAATTAAGTTTCTTCTCAGGGTTGAAGTAGGAAACTTGCTCTCAGGTGTTATATATATGAAAAAAGTTAATTGCTCATCTTAATCAACCTACCATCTTCTATCCATAAACGGACAGGTTCGGAAATTTTATCTCTGAAATCTTCTGCGTAAATAACTTCCGCCTGTTGTTTGGGAGTAAATTTAAAACAAACGACACATGAAATAAAAAATAATTAATAACATAATAACATGTGACGTTCAATTACAAATCAGGTAAAAGAAAAACATTTACCAATTGCTTAGAGACGATAATTAGAATTTTATGGAGGGCTGGTTTACTTGTTGACGTGTTTAACTTTTAACTTACAAGTCACATTTTTAAGTCTTTCATCACTTACTTCGAATTAGCCAGTTGATGTAGGAGTGCCACTAACAATCAAAAGAAGGAAGTAGCTCGAAAGCGAATACACAAATGTATACTTGATAAAAAAGAGTAAAAATATAGCCGAGATTTAATCGCTTCTGATAAAAGATGAAATGAAAACGTTCATCGAATTTCTAAAACTTGTTTTTTAAAAAACTAAAAGACTCAAACAAAATGAGGAACTTCGAATATTAGAATATTCATTGATTAACAATCTTCTCGAGTGATTAATTTTGACCAATTTTTTTAAAAACATCACGATAATAAGTGTAGGAAAAAGTGTTATGCTTCATGTGACGTATGAACTACACAACATTTTACAGTGATGTAACATGACAATATGAAATGTTAGCGGGGACTGAAACAACATTTATCACCAACTATTCATGACTTTGTTCAGTGGCTAAGAAATCTTAATATCCTACTTCTAGCGTCAACATTTACATAAGTGAGCACTCGTTTCCTTTTTTCAATTTTTTAAGTATACAAATAAACAGTATGTATCATCACAGCATTATTGGTCCAGTTTGTATCGCAAGCATTCTAGTTCGAAATCGACTTTGCAACAGCTTCTTATCAAATATTTCGTGAAATAATCTATACTACTATTAAATAGTTCAGTAAGTTCAGTTGAAATGATGGTGTTTAATGCATCTGAGTTCTATTCCCAGTAAATCTACGGATAAAGTATTGGAAAGAAGAATATGTGGTCGTTTAAATGAATCATACTCTTATCGGTTAGAATTATTAACTTTCGAAATGTATTCAATGTAAGAAATAGATATATAATGAAAACAGTATGGAGTTTAATAAATTATGAAAGGAGACGTTCAAAAGCAACTTTGGCGTTTGACATTTCCAAGGTGACTGAAACAAAAAGTTCGAATGAATAAATCATAAACGAAGATTGTATGCACATAAATATTCTTATGTTCAAAGGGAAAAGTGTTTTTAACTCAAATATAAATGATGAATGATAAAGTGTCGAATGAACTTTTGTCAAAATTTATATCTAAATGTATTAAACAGTTTATAGATTGGTTATTAGGAAAAACTGAAATGTTGATTGAATCACAAATGTTCTGACCAAAATAAAGAAAGGGAAGTAATTTTTTATGTTAGGCGGCTGAACGTATTGCATAGGTAAAGCTTTTTGATCTACATTTCGTACCAGTTGACACTCATCGCCAGTAAAGTGTACCTTAATGCCAAGGGAACTGATGTCCCTTACTCGATTCAAGAAGTGGTCACATTGTAACTTTATCAAAAGAATTTGATTACCACTAAGAAAAATAGACCGGCATGATACTAATCAACGCTCAGTGATCAATGAGCTATAGTTTTTAATATTGGCAATGACAGTGTTTGTACGAATATGGTATAGTCTGAATTTCTCAGTGTTACATACTGAGATGTTCAGTTCATTTTTTATGGATTTTATTGTAGGTCACTAAATAACTAGGGTAAAAAGATATTTAAACAGTGAAAAGTTTTTTGATGAATTTATTTTTAAAAGATTCAAAATTGTATTTACATTAAATAATCAGTACCATGAGCAGGTTCATTTATTTGTCAAAATGTACGTGTATAATCAATGAGAGTCGTGAAACGCAGTTTATACTTATGGGGGGAATTAGCTTAACTTAACAAATGATTCACTAGACTAATTTGAAATTAAAGGACGGATAAGAGACTAATGAGAAACCAAGTTACAAGCTGATCTTATCTATACAATATTTGTAAACCTGGAAACACTGAAAGGCTGTTTCGTTCTATCACTGGCACTTTTCATCAGTGCACATCTAAGACCCCCATATCCAGGAATCGAACCTAAGACCTTTGAACTGGCAAGCGAACACTTGACCTCTAGACCACTGAGCCGTCATTCAATAGTGTTAATGTCTAACTTCAATCAATTTGTAACTCCAATATTTATGGTTTCTCACTTGAAATCCATGAGTTGGATCTTGAAGCTGGTCATCAGTGAGCAAAGAATAGACGTCAGAAACACAAGTACAGGTGGTTAGATAATTGTTACTGTGAATGGTTTGATGTGATAATATGCAATAATAACAACTTAGTGAAATTAGCAAATCTTTTTAAGAAATATTCGATTGTAGTCAACTAAGACAGATGACATCACATTTAACTTAAAGATAAAGAACGGCAAAGAATAATTATGAAACCAAATGTAAAGGTAATTAAGGGCCTCGACAAATAAAGTGACCCTACATACTGTTGTGTTTGTACAAGTAGGTTTGATCCTATAATTGATCATGAATGTTATGTTTAATATAGAGAGTGGAAACTGTCAACTATATGTTGCAGGAAAAAGTACGAATAACAATACATCAAATTATTTTTTACCATGAAAAATCACACCTTGAAGTTCATTATTCTCGTTCACTTCATAAATTGATTTCTTATTATTTTCATCATATAATGACCTCATTAAACAATCAATGGAAGCAAGAAAACACTGGATACTTATTTCTTTCTAGTATAGCACTGCTAAACAGTGAGCATACACGGAAGCACTGAAAATTAAACCCAAGAACTGCAAGTTCTTTAGATCACCGGATCCATATAATCAAAAGATTTACCCATCTAACTTCAGTCGATTTGCAATAATGTACGATCATCTTCCAATGTGATTGGTGTGCAACTGTTATACACTTCACTGTTCACAGGTACTTGAAACTAGTCACTAGTCAACACACGATTATCATTACTATGGGGAGATTTCGGGGGTTACAAAATACCATAGTTTATATTACAGAGTGATCTTAGCTTGACAACCAATTGATTTTTGTACTGACAAATCAAGGTGATCTGGATTCGACTCGAGCGTCAGTTACCTCAAGAGTTCATGTATATCTTGCTGACTAGAGCAGACTGGCATGAAACCTAGGTCCGGAGTTGCCAAAAATACATGTTGTTGTAAATAGTTTAAGGTGACAAAATGCAGTAATATATATAACAAGGTCATTAATCTTCGTCCATTTCTTAAGTAGTGTTGTTTTAGTCGAAAGATTTTAAGAGATGTGAAAAAATAATCATCTCATTCGGAAAATATAGAAGGAACAAATACAAGTTCGCAAATGTCGATGAAGTCAATACATTTAACGAATATAGTGAAACGTTTCTTAACACACACACATACACATTAACCACTCGATAGTCGTATCAGATTTTTTTAAAGTGTTAAAGAGAACATTAATTAGGTTTTTTCTTTTTTCCTTTTTAATTCACATGATTTATGTGTTAACGGCTGAGATGTCTTTGACATTTAACTTTAAAATACATTTATTTCCTGAGTATTTTGGTATTTGGTTTTCAGTAGAATTTACGAGGCGCGTTTTACCCTACTTGTGATTTGTCAGCTGGATGGACCTATATCCTTCAGTGTTAACTTTCACACGGAGATTCTAACCCAGTAGCTTTCGCATCAAACATCGGGCTACTGAGTCTAGATATCCATTAACTTATTCAACAGCGTGTGAAGATAGTTGTAATCACTTGTAATTGGACTGTAATTATTCAGTCTTTGTGAAATAATTGTTGAGTCGGCTTTCGGAGAACTTCAACGGAGCCTCCAGTGGTCCAAAAGGAGCCGAAGAGTTCTAGCCAATCACAGCACGATGGAGCATTCTAGAATTCCAACGTGGCGTGCTACTACTGGCCAGTAGCATAATATGTCGCTAACGGATTGGCCGAAATATGATGTTGATTTAACAAACGTTAACATCTATAAATACCCATGTTTTCTGTACAAAAACGAACCTTGGAGTAAAGTATTTCTCTCATACTTTGCGTCTTCTCTCTGGTGTTCAGGTCGCTGTGTAGTTCTAGCTTGCGGGTTACCAGAATAGCTTAGGAAACGAATATAGCGTTCAATCGACAAGACTTATCAATAATACTATATCAAGATAATCAATTCACTAACTGATATAAATGTCATTACTGACGATAACTACTAGCTACAAGTAAACAGAGATGGATGGTTGCTAGCAGTAGGATCCAGGATGTGCGTTCCGTCAGCTGGACGTACCTAAATGCATTAGCTATATGTAGTATATAATAGATGTGAGCAAACTGCGGAACAGAAAAACCTATGATTGTTTCACAACACATACTCACTTGAAGTTCATAACGCCGGCCAGGTAGTAAATTTTCAATTTTATATAGTTTCACATGATTACTTTTATCACTTAATGTTTCAGTTGTTTTCATTGTAACTGGTACATAATTCACCTGTTTTATATAATCTGGATATTCATCCACTTCACCAATTACTCTTAATGTGAACTGAGTATTCAGTGTTTCTAAATTAAGACAGCTTGGCATTTGACTTGGTCTAACTTGTACTTGTAATGAATAATATCGACCGGATGTAGGCGCTTTAAGATCAGTTTGACCTTAAGTGGAGTAAAAATAAAGCAAAATATGACAGGAATATACATAAATACTCTACTTCACTTAGTATTTGATATATTAGTATCAATCAAATATTAAATGATAGACAATATAGCATATGGTACAAATGTGCGTCATTTCAATTCCCCACACTTTGCATCAGTACAAATAGGAGGAGATATTTTGACAAAAGTGGTTGCTCTGTACAATCTTGAATATTCAATGAATGTTTATTATCTAAGGTAGTTGTTCCATGATCTTCTGCCATGTTAAACTGATTCTGTCAGGGAGTAGTAAAACCGAAAGTATAAAGCTTGAAGTAAGAGGGCAACTTGGAGGTTTTGACTGTAAAGAGATGGAGGCAGAATGCATCTCAAACAGTCAACACGTCCAGGTTTACTATTTTCCCATGGACAAAATGGTCTAAAATAGTTCGGGTATAAAAATTGTACAGCCTCCTCACCTTGTGGATCTATTGTAGCAGAAGAAAAAATCCAATAAGTGCAAAGCTAACTAAGAAAATACTCTAGAAAAGCTGAGTGAAACCAACCTAGAACAATTACTCATTAAATACTATCCAAGGTTAAAAAGACAACCAATACTGTTTTCATGTCTCACGAGAAGAAGGAAACATATTTTGATAGTATGTCCAATTGGCAAGTGTGCAAACCTGCATACCTTGAACGGAATACCTTCCGTGCTGTGTTGTTCACTTTAGTCCATAAAACAAAAGCTGAATTCCAGAAATCACAACATACTGAAGTTTTCATTGTGCTTTATAGACTCTTGGAAATGCTGAATTGATAAACTTGAAGAAAAATGTCACAAAACACACAACAAGAAATCTGTCAATCTAAGGGCCTGAAACTAGCTATCAGCGCCAATGGCAGACATATTATGGGTACACATCAGTAGATCGTAGTACAATTTTTTGTATTATATATAGACAGAAGAATGACAAGCTTCTACGTCACTTAGAGGCAGTAATTAGTCGTCATCTTTATCTTAATGTGAGTGAGATAAAACAAATTTTTATTTCACCTAACTCTTTGATATAGATCCATTTACTATTATACTTTGGCCTCAATTAAAGAAAATTGTTTGAAAAATTGGGAGGGTCTTTTGCTTTGTTTGTATAATCTATAAACACTTTTCATCATCCCTCCCAAGTTTTATGTGATCACAAAATAACACCTTTCATTGTTCTTTTAGATCAAACTTATATTTCTAAATTATGCTTATTGTTATAACTGCTTATATTATATTAGCACTATTTAATAAAACGTATGACGCCATTTCTTTACCGATTTAGACAACCAAATAATTGTATTTTCTCATATCATCCTTTATTACTGTTATTACGAATATTATTATCATCCTCACTGTTACAATTACGTCCCTATTATTTTGCAGTGTCAACTTCCAATTTAATTCTATTCGCCTACTTTAAGCCATGATCAGTGAAGTTCAATCGTATCGCATATAAGAAAGGTATCCAACGAAGACAGTGAAAGGTCACCGTGCAATATCGTGCATTGATTTAAATTAAGTATGTACACCGTTAGATCCTGGCTCAGGGGTCTAGAGGTTAAGCGTTATCGTGAGATACCGAGAGTCTTGTGTTTTTTTCCTGGTTGCGAGATCATGGAAGAACACCGTTTAATAGTCTCATACTAGGACGAAATAGAAGTTCAGTGCTTCCAGGTTTCCAACGGCTATCTGACTTAGATCGACTCGTGATTCCCTTTCATATTTATAAATTGAAGCTGGGTAAATATTGTTGTGCTTGATAAATTGGATATATTGGTTCAAGGCCAAATAATACATGAGAGGTGTTGATGTGTGCACGTCGCAGGCCAAGATTTTAGGGAGAAGTGCACTATTAGTAGGAAATCTAGGTTGTTTTGCTGAACGACACTTGATCAAATTAATATCATGAGTTTGTGCACAAATTTGATCCAGTTAACCAAGACCAGGTCTTTCCTACTCTTGGTTTCCCAACTCAAGTAGTCGGTTAAGTATGCATATAGAAAAGTTATAAATCAATGTGACACTCGAACAACCGCCCAACACAACAAACATACACCATATAACTATTCAAATATGGTTTAATTAATGAACTAAGAGCGATTTATACATGTTAAGTGCAAAATTACATTTGTACAATATTTTATTTATACAAACCAATGAATATGTGAACGATTTAGCAGACGAACATGGATTGGAACGAAGTCACTTTATCCTATAATATTTGTTGTTATTGTTGTAGAAAAGTTTATCAACGGGAACTAATTTCATTAAATATGACACTATAAGTTACAAGTATTACCAAGAGTAATAATAATATAATAGTAATAATAATAATAATAATAATAATAATACAACTAACCCATTCGACCTATTGAAAACTTAATGTCAGATGAAGTTCCCATTGTGATGGATTTCCCGTCTATGCCCTTAAATACCGGTGTTACTTTAAAAGTATAATCAATAGCCAATCCATTTTTTGTGATAGTTGGATCAGGTATATTTTTTAAATTAACTCTGTAAATTGTCCCATTATCTGAAATAGTAGAGTATAGATTGAAGAAAAACATATCATAAAGACAATTTAGTTATTAATTTAGCATAGGACAGCTTATTTAACGTAAAAATGAGCAACGGAAATATTGGGCATAAGATATTGGGCAAAGATGGTAAATCAGTTGACGGGTTAGGAATTTTCATCAACTGAAATGATTAAGACATATGTCATTTATAACTTACGATGATCCGTCTCGATGCCGAATGTTAGTCGAAATAGAGTGAAAGAAAGCTAGGGGATGACCAAACCAAAACCTAGAGTCAGTCTTTGAAGTCTTCGATTGCTGGTCTAAGGCACGTAGACACCTAGAAACTATCTGGTTAAGTTTAACTCGATAATCGTGATCAGTAGTTGGAGACATGGATTGGAATGGATCAGAATTCGGCCAAAGCGGTGCAGCGGCACTTATTTTTTTGTTTTCCTGAAAATATTGATTTCCAATATTTGTTCGTATAAATATTTAGATTCTATCTGCTCGAACCATATTCTTAATGTTTGGTTTTCTTAGTATAATTTCTACTACAGTTACTTAGACTCCTTTGATATTAATCTTATCAATTACATTATGCCGTGCCAATCTAGTACAAAACAATTTGAACTAATGCACATTTGTGCCAGATTGCATTTTGATTATGGTTGACTGAATTGCGTAACTTAGAAACAGTAAAAAACTGTGTTATTCTTTTTGTTCTACCCTGAAAACGGATTAGGTTAAATTTTAAAAAAATCCGGTTCAAATTTTACCGAAAACACAGGTAAAGCATAGCCAAAAGCAACGCATATGTGCATAAATTCAAGTTACCATACCACATCAGTACATCGAGATGAAATCACTAACACATATCATATTTGAAGCGGTAGTAACAGTGGTGGTAAAAAGAACACTAGTGATAAGCAATACTACTAAACAAAAAAGAACACATTCGTGAAATCGAAAATATGCGATAACTTTGAGAAACTGAAGATCTAAGAAAAAACAAAGGGTGATTGTTAACAAACAGTAACTTTGGACATCTAATGATAACAAACAATTTGAGTTAAAATCAAATATTACTGGGTGTTTGTTACTTAAATTCCTTCAAGCTGTGCAAATATTACAATAAAGGTTCTTATCATTGGATTTGTTCGACTAACTAGCTAACTAATAAATAAATTGACAAATATGAACTGATATATTTGTTATCACTAAAACGTTTTTTATACGTCCGGCACCTAATCACTTCTTAACCGCCAGAACTCTTCCATTATTCAATCTCGAACAAAAACAAGAAGGCGAGAAATATGAGATATGTTTTTCTCAACAAGTTACTTTATGTAAAGTATCAACGATATTTATAGGATTACGTGGTAATTTGATATTATGAAAGCATCTGAAAAACATATTAAAATTGTCCAATCTGTCATTCTTCAGAATTCTCTTGAAAGATGCTAAAGAACGTTGTCTGCTCGATGTATTGTCAGCTTCTGAAAACCTTTTCGATAATTTATCAAGGTCTCCTACCAAGTTTACATTTTATTATCATGCTAAAGTATCATAATATTTTATGCGAGACATTACACGGACTGGCATATATTTTTCATTCTCAATATTTCAGTGAAGTGTAATGCAATTAAGTTTAAACTTATACAATCTGACATGTAATACAAATACCTTACAGAGTTTTAATGATAGATCTGGTCAAATATTTTTGTAAATTAAGGTAAACAATAAATAAACCATGTTTAGAAAAGCTTTCTTTGCATTCGTTTTTAAATAATTGCAACCAAAAATGTTTAGTAGTTGTAATCACACACTGATATCAATTGGAGAACCATTAAAAATCAGGTCACATAAGGTGGTAGTTTCGTCCCAGTCCCATGTTCGAAATCTTGAAATCTTACATAAGTAGGAAAGTAGAAATATCAGCTCTTCTCTGAATGATATTTATTCATCCATTCAGTGATGTATATTTCATGGTATAACATAATTGTTGTCTTATTGTTATGGATAATATCGAGACTATTTGAATATTGCAGAATCTATTTTATTGTAATACATTTGACAAGTTAACAACTAATTTACTCATAATGATTTGATTGCCTTCTCCTAAATTTATTTTCATTATTCGATGTCGAATAATGCAATCTGACAAAAAAACGCCTTTCTATTCTATTAATCTTTACGATAATCCTGTGTGCACTGCAATACAATACAATTTTGAATACAATTTTAAAAAAGGGTATACAAGCAGTGATTACTATCATGTTATTATTATTATTATTTTATTGAATTATTTTAATCTCTAGTTATTTCAAAGAAAATAAAAAAAATTTTTAAATGATGCATCATTGTGAAGTAATAATAAACAATAATTTGGATGGATACCTTGGTTTCACTCTTCAATTCCATGTTTACACTTAAATATTGGACATTAAGTTAGTCTATTGCGTACCTTTACTTTCATTACAGTGTTACCTTGGTAACCAATTAATAATATTAATTATAATGATAATAATAGTAATTATAATATGAATTATAGTAACTGGGACAATAGTAGGCCATAAGACCTTCGTGATAATCGAGAGAAAGAGGAGAGAGTTATAATCTTTGCACAGTAAATAAATATCATATATTTATTATATACTTCATAAATCTTTATATTTTGGATAATGCTTGACAATACTGTTTTGTGTTGTGTACTTTTTAACTTTTTCTAAATAATATTAATTAGAACTATATTTTATGTGAATATCTTGTATCTGGAGTTTAATTCTGAAATAAATTAGATTTCAACTGTTTGGAAGTTAATTAATCACAAATAAAAATATACATCGGTTCAGATTGCCATATTACATTAGCACAGATAGATGAAATTGTCAGGCAAAATCCCATAATAGTAGAAGTAGTGACAGTATCAATGGCGATAGAAAACGCTAGACATCAAAGATAACGTCCAAGAAAATATAAATTAGTAAAATAAGAAAAATAATAATTATGAAGAATTCAGAAGCATCGAATCTGGGAGAAGACAGTAAATGTACAAACTTGCACAATTGTAAAAGATCTTGAAATATATCATTCAGAGTCTCTAAACACTGGTTATGATTATCATGTGGACCTAAACCAAGTAGTCTAGAGATGTTAGCATGACTCACTCCAACTATCATTAACTTCATGAACTGATGTCATTTTGTGGTTCGACAGTAACTAGCTTTTTTCTAACCTAATTCTACACCGGACAACATAGCCAATCAAGGTGGACTTTCCCAACCACCCTAGTTAGTGAAGATTTACTACCTTATCAGCTGAATTACCAACTTTACCTAGTACATTATCCATGCTCATTGTTTCGTCCCAAAATATACCAGCGATGCTTCGAAGACACCTAAGAAAATCTTTTATTCTTAATGTCCATGTTTAGCACGCGTAACACACATGACGCCAACCAGGTGATCTGAAAGTAACTATTAACATACCATCTTTATTTATACTTTGTAATTTGCATTTGTAATTCTCGAAAAATGTTCTCTCATATACTTACACAACTACCAACATATTTGATTAAGTTTCTACATTCAACTATGTCTTGTATTTTTATTGAATGTTAGTTTGACAAATTAAACCAGTCTATGGTTTTAGAGTTACTTTTGAAATTCTCATGACATCAAATTTTACACAAGAATATACACCTCTTGTTTTCCAATCAAAGAAATGTTTTTCCCGAGCAACCATAAGGAAACATATTGAGTAAGAAAAAGGGAATATTTCTCAAAACTTAGAAAAAGTACGCATATAAGCAAACAATATGTTTTTTAATTATATTTTTATCTAGTACACATCGATAATGTGATGATAAATATACTAGTAGTTATGTAATCCGTTTCATTATTATCAATAATTCATAAACTACCTTGATTGGTTCTATAGGTTTCATATGTACGTATGAATACATTATTATATATTAGTATAAAAGCTGATAACTCGGCCTGTAGCTCTTCCAGGGTTACTGCAGGTCCCAGTCTTTTCACATTTCATTTACTTCAGGATACGTTTTTGGTAAATAGTTACTATTGTGAAACACCAACAATGCTATCATTTTGAACTGTAAATTTTCTCCATAATTTATTTCAAAGGTATATGTTCCAAATTGTAGATCAAAAGGCAGGTTTTTTAATGTTTAGAAATATGGGGGAATTTATGTCATAAAAAGTATTGATGAATTCACACTATCGATAGTGTTATGAATCACCAACTCAAAATGAAGGTTTCGCGATTATATGCTGGAGGCGGAGTTGTAGGTTTTGTTCTGTTGCTGAGGTATCTTGAATTGAGGTACAATATATCTAACAAACAATGATTCTTGCTATTTTTTCAAGGGTCCATCGGTTAATATCAGTCATTAATGAAAGAATCAGCTTTAAAATACATATTCTTCATTATTAGTTTGGATTTAAATTATCTCGTTGTTAAAAATTTCGGTTGAATTTTGATCAGTCTTTATTCGCAGAAAAAAACACGTTCACTCAATGCCATTTCTAACCAAAAATCCATCTCTTCGATGCAAACTTACGAATAATAGCTATATCAAGGCAATCCACACAAAATGAATACCTATCCCGACAAAGACTGATCAAAATTCATTCAAGATTATCAAAAAGTACGCTTCAATTTTCTAACTTAAAAATTATTCATTTATAGCTGACAAAGGTTCTCCAATTGATTAATTATGAGGCATTAATATTGTATTGACATAAATGTACGTATTTCTTATCCTTTAACCAATTAAATGTTTGCCAACAAATGAAAAGAACGACTTACCGATTTCTTGTTGTGTAATTGGTAAATTAAATTCACTGGCCTGTTCACATGCTTTTGGAAGACCAGACAATTTAGTTTCATAATGATGAAGGAGACTACTGAAAATTATTGGCAGCCCAAACCATTGTATTAATTGATTTTCCGCATCAACTGTAATATCAGTAGGAATGTAAACTGAAGAAATAGGAAAAAAAGCAGATCAGTAGAATTCGACCACAAAATTAAGATAAGTAGATAAACTTGAAATTGGATGTTATTTAATCAGTAATTACTGTAAACAACTCAGTTCTATATGAAGATCAGTCGTTGTCCCAATAAAGCTCAGTATTAACGATTCAGTATGTGACAATCAGTGACAATCAGGGATAGAGTAAGTTTTTTCACCTTGCTAGCGATTGTCAACTAGTAAAGAAACCTATTTTTAAGTGTTTTTGTTTGATTGTTTTCAATTTCACCTCATATCCAGATAAAAGTGTGAACTCCCATCCAGTGTGATAATTATAATCTTTATTTTATTTGTGTGTGAATTTCATGTGTCTTTATAGTAACTCTGAGTACCTTTTCGTTTATAAGATGTTTATTAACTAATCATCAAGTGCATAAAATACATTATGTCAATAAGTGTGATTAGTTTAATGAGAAGGTGATTTAGAACGAATTGTTTTGAGTTGTCAATACACCACCATACCAGTCCCTTATATTCTTACTTTACGTCGTAGGAATTATAGTAATTCCCATTTTCCAAGCATAAAAAGTAGGGTCGCAGATATTATAGCTTCATGCTAGCAAGCATTCGTAAGTAAGGGGTTTCTGTATTCAATCGAATAACTAACGCTCCTTCAACGAAGTCTTAGGTACTGGCTAGGACATTAATTCAAGAACTTCGTAATGGTCTTTAATTTGATTCGAATGGCACAATTTAGCGCTCTAACTTGAATAAAATTATTCAATGCCTAATAAAATTCATCGTTTGTTAGTTAGCTGGTTTGAAACTAGAATGAGAATGTTTTCTCAATAGTGTACGGGATTTCAGGTACAATCCAATGAAAAGTAAACGATTTCCGATAAACACTTGTATTCGAAAAATTGATGGTGAGTAATCTAAGGCTCATCGTTGGTACAAACTATTTGTTACGCCTTGGATAAAGCTGATTATGTCTACTGGGGTTTCAGGTTGGTCTACCATACTCAGGAATTAAGGGACGACTCAATTATTTTAATACGAATTGATCTATTGCGGACTCGATAACAGCAACTGACACACAACACTTAAATAATTAACTGGAAAAGCAAGAAGAACGAGAAGTATCGGAACAAATTGAGATGGTACAACTACATATATGTAGCAACAAAAGTGTGACCTACTTTCAAGTATACAGAAAATTAGTGAACCAAAAATATCGATAGAAAATTCGAGAAGGGGAATGATCATACATAAACTCAAACTAAAAGAGACATTTGGAGTCACCGTCACAAAAAGTAAGACTTTAATATTATTAACAAAGTTTGAGTAATCTCGTGATTGCCTTAACACTGTTTCATAAAGATATCATTACTATCTACAACTAATTATGGTGTTCTAATAATTCCATACACGAACAATAAGATTATATTCCGTTTGATTGTATAAATGATTGTGAATGATGAGTTCGATACGGTATGGTCATGATCATTTCTATTCCACAGAATAAACGACTTTAAACTTTGCGTCGTCCTTTACTAATATATGCTGAATTCTGCATTTATTTATTCACCTGCATCTATAAAGGTAAGAACATGGGCTGTTTGTCGAGGAACATTTCTCAACGCATAAGAGAGCCCCAGCTAGTATCGCTCAGTAAAACTCAACGCAACAAAATAAGGCTAATCAGTATATGCTTTCGTGGAGATAATTAAATGTAATCGATATCACGAATCAAGCTAAGCTATACATCCATTTAAAATCAGGAAGTATTGGATAGCTATTTCGTTTTAGTAGGAGACGCATCAACAGCAAGCGACCGCAACCCTGTCGAAGATTGAACTAAGGATCTCGAGTCTCGCGAGTATGGCTGAGGAGTCCCGCACTAGGACGAAACAATGATTCAACCCTTTCTTGACTTCAATCGATATTCAGCTTAAGAGAGAAGAAATTGTGTTTTTTGGACATCATGTATACGTTAACATTCCAAATGCTCTACTTTGAGACGTATCATGTTGCACATGGAACTTAGATTTTTCTTCTTGTCTAATATCTGGGTATATTGAAGTGTTTTACAGAGAAGCACAGTAATGCTTACACCTACAGATATTTTGTTTCCCTTTGGTGTGTCTATTTGTGTATATGTGGAGATCAGTGTGATATATTATATTCACCATTTTCAAGAATGTTCAGGGTACATAAAAAGCAAAAACGAACCGCTCTTCAAAAATCTATGACACATATATTCAATATCAGGTTGATAGAAAAGGATAGAGAACATTAGGAAAGCATTTGATGAAAAGAAAAATGGAAACGTCATACCAACCAAAAAATAAAAGGAATCACAATAAAGACATGAGACAGTGATTTTATCTTAGCTCCAACCTCCTCAATTACGACTGAATACTGTCTGGAGTTGAGGCCAGAACATCCGAGTCTCATGATAAGTTCGGTATTTTCCATTCGTTGAGTTAAAATCCTACGATTCAGATATCCAGTAGTTGTAATTACTGTCTTAATTTGGTCGTGATTATTTTCCCATTATTAACTTGGATGACTTCATTTCTTTCACCGCTGAATGGGAAGCATAATAGGTTTCAACATAACAACCACGCCTTTCTCGTCGGTTCATAGATTTTGTAGGATATCCATTCTGCATCAATATTTTTATTTAATAGTTTATCTTCATCTTTAATAGTAACATTTATGCAAATATGGTTAATTTCTATTTAATCAACCCTTTACATAATGTGATTTGAAATGGACTGGACAATAGTCATAGTAACTTCGATATTACTCTGTCCCTGTGGGGTTTCTATAGGTAAAGCGTTTGATTAAAATATTTTCTATCTTGGAGTCAAAAGTAAATCTAAGAAAAAAAAAGTTGATTATTCTTCTCTCCTTCACATGAAAGACATGACATGTAAATGTTAGTCAGTGATGTTCTTAAAATACTAACCAAATGAACCATCAATTTATCAAAAAATAATCACCATAAATTGTTATTTTAACTTTCTCGGTTTATTTTAGTGATGATGTAATGATAGTGAATTTGCAGATTGTATTCATTACAGATTGGTCTCAGTTGAGATACCATTAGAATCGGAGGGGGGGAGTGGATTTTTGTTTTCCTCTTAATATGGAACTCCTCAGGAGTCAAAATTCACAACTAGGTCAGGGACCGAACATGGGAACTCCCAGTTTTGTATGAAACGCTATTCACTACTACCTAGTCATTAATGGTATCTTAATTGAGACGAATTTGTGATGAACACAACCTACAAATGAAATCAATCATCACTAAACTCCTACAATTCGGACAACAATAAACGTTTCAAAAATATTTAGCGAATAAGACAATGATTTTTCCCCAGATAATTAATAATTCACTAATCCATTAATTAATATAAAAAATAATCAAGTGATCGAGGTGGATGATGAATCGTTCCGAGAATATTCAAATAAATATATTGCGCTCACATAATTATAACAAATCCATTGTACAAGTTAGTGTATTTCTAGATTCAGAAGCTCAGTGAATTAAGCGTTGATGTTTAGAAAGAAAAATACTGGATTCGAGTTTCAGTCTTGATAAGTCTTGTCGAATGAACGCTATATTCGTTTCCTAAGCTATTCTGGTAACCCGCAAGCTAGAACTACACAGCGACCTGAACACCAGAGAGAAGACGCAAAGTATGAGAGAAATACCTTACTCCAAGGTTCGTTTTTGTACAGAAAACATGGGTATTTATAGATGTTAACGTTTGTTAAATCAACATCATATTTCGGCCAATCCGTTAGCGACATATTATGCTACTGGCCAGTAGTAGCACGCCACGTTGGAATTCTAGAATGCTCCATCGTGCTGTGATTGGCTAGAACTCTTCGGCTCCTTTTGGGCCACTGGAGGCTCCGTTGAAGTTCTCCGAAAGCCGACTCAACAAGCCTGAGCACCAAAATTAGGATGCAAGTGTATTCAGTTTATGAGTCAGAAAGAGATGAGAGTCCTGGATTCTAATGCTAGCCGCTATCTAAGTTGGGTCAAATAATAGCTCATCCTTTTTGTGGCATTATCTCAATCCAAAGTGAAATAATGGTTATAAGCTACCGCTTAACAAAGAAGATTAAATTGCCATGTCATTCAGTGGAATCAATCAGAAAACCATTGAGAGGTAATACAAGACTTAAGTAATTATACATATCATAACTTAGTCCGATTATAAGTTCCCTTTATATCACAAGAATAAAATAACTGAATACTGCATAAGCGGTGTAAACATTTCTGTGAAGAAAAAAACTTATTTATGGCAGTTGTCAACATACCATCAGTTATTCCTTACCCTCCCTTCTTTACTATGCAAAACAAACAAGGATATATGGACACACATACACGCAAACGATAACTAATCAGGTTTTAAATGTTCACTTAATATACAATAAGCATGCGATAGAAACAGCAGAAACAATAGAACCTACAAATAAAGTTAAAAATAGACAAAACCAAATGGAAGCCATTACACTATTTTCGATAGTTGGGTTTAAAAAGAATATATATATACATATATATATATATATATATATATATATATATATCACTCCCCTTTTTTTAATACTATATTGATCAGTGTTGTTGCTTTTTTAAACACATGAGTACAAAACAAACAATAAATGATGAGCAGGTTAATGAATTCTTTTGTTAATCACCATTTATTTATTATATTATATTATATAATAATATAATATAATAGTCCACTCCTAATAGTTCCGTTTGTTTTACTTCAGACATGTCAGAATTCCACTGGTCACAACTTTACACCAGGACTTAAGGAACTCATTTCAAAGAAAGTCAGTAGTAATGAGAGTATGACGTTCGAAAAGAAAGATATCCCTTGGAGATATTCATGACTGATGAATTTCAATTGGGAGACCTGCTAAAACTAAATTATATAGAACATCGTCCTAGATTAGGACATTTGAACAGTGCAAAATACAACATCTTATTTGGGCTATTTTATTTGTAAAACTATTTTTATTACATAATCAAAGTTAATCATTTAAACCATAAGCAAACAATTGGTTGTAAAAGTCCATTTGGTTTATAAGAAAAGAAAAATATTATTACACACAACTGTAATAAACACCTTATTACAATCGAAATCATTCGTAGATACTAGGTGTTATATGAACGAATAAGTGATAGTTAGTATTTTAATCACTGGGTAACAATCTAAAACAGAGTGATTTTTATTCTAATTATATGTAATAAGCGTAAAACACATATATATTATATGAATATATATATATATATATATATGAATGTTCGAATAGTCATTGTGAATTTTCAATTTTAATTAAACACTGTTTTTGCTACATATTCCATAAACAAGTTGGATACAGTTTGATAGAACATATACTGATTATATAATTTTTTTTTGTTCGTAATTCAGTTTATAAACAAACTAGATTTATTGATAAATGGTAATTAATAAAAATATGAATTGAAGTATGTCAAGGAAGTTATCATTAATTATTATTGAATTATATTATTGTACAGCCTATAATCTAAACACTTTGTTTAAAACAATATGACAGTCATAAATTTATGCCAATTGATGAGCTTTCCAATAAATAGTCAAACTGAAATCATGATAATTTCACACTGTAAGAACTGTAGATGAATCATTATTATTGTGTTCAAAATGCTTCTTTTATTTTTTGGTAAAAATCATACTTGTAAAAGTTTAGAAATCAAGTCTCTCTATTGTTTCATTTATTGTTAAGTTCTTTGTGATTAAGAGAACACATTCTAATTGTTTAGAATAATATAGTGAGTGTAGAGCGTGATACAATATGGTGTCAAAATTACAAGTGAGAAATGAGGAATCACTGATAGATATGCAGTAATATTGTTTCTTAATTATTGGACAGCCCTCAATCATCACAACCATGGTCGATTATTAACCGAACTAAGGCAGCCCATTATTCTCAGGACAAATGGTTGTTTAGATACAGATATGAATACTCTACTAATTAGCCTCGAACTAGTGCAAAATATTTTTACCTATCAACTGAATACTTCTGTATCCAATGTCAGTCTGTGAATAAATCTCTTCATAACTTGAACTAATCGCCAGCATCCACATCTGTATGCTTAATACTAGTGATAAGCTTCAAGATAGACCACAGAAGTTTCAATGAAATGAGTTATGACCGGTGGATAAATTGACACTGTTTCAATTACTTATTGAAATGAAAAAAAACACTGTTAAAATATCCTACTTAGTTTTGGAACTTACATGGATTCTTGAATGAAATCGATTGATTTGTAGTGGCTTCAGATTGTGTAGGATCCGCTGAACCAATTGACAATTGCATTTCTAAATTTATTTGTTTTTGATTACTTGGCAGTTTAATCCGAAATATTGTTTGTTTACTGGATACTCGGGATTTTAATGTTTCAATTTTTGGTTCAATAAATTCTAAAAGTAGATAAGTTGGTCTACAAGCAACATTGTCGGAGATCACCTAGTTGAAAGTATTAAAAAGAGGAAATGAGTAAACCAGTATGAAAAGCTGATAACAAGGTATGATGGTGAATTAATGTGATTGATAACTAATTACCACAAATTATATTTTGTAATAAGGTTGGTAGAATACTAAACCGCTGGACTTTTATATTGATTTGTAGCTTGTATTCGTCAATCGGGGTGCCAATGAAAACCAGTCACCGATGGGATTGGATGATCATCTCATTATGTTGAGAATCAGTTGAATTTGGAATTGAACGCTGACTCAATGGTTTTAGCGGCCAACTATTCACAATGAGGCTTATAGCACCACACTTTGGAGCCTATCGGGGTCGTAAACACGCATAGTTGACGAGCCCTTATTAGGAAGAAGCAGTTGTCCGGTCCAACATGGTTTGTTAATATTATTCTCAAATGAGATCAGTCTGTGATGTTCACAAACTACAAATCAAACGACTCTTCACAAATCCCTTCCAAGCAAACTTCTGGTTTGTTTAAAATCAGGCACTGACCACGTAATGAACGAATGTTCATTCTAATTTATGTAAAGTAGTCAATGAATTATCAAACTCCCTACGACATTTTTAATGCATCTAAGTTTCAAACGATCATAGCGCGTTTTTTTTTGGAACAATAAATGTTAAGCAAATATGGACGGTGGCTAGCAGTGGAATCCAGGAAGCGCGTTCGTCCTATTTGGAACTCACACCAAGTGCCGTTCGTTTTATATGCCATCACGTTATCCACTTAGCCGCCAATTCCTGATAACCACCTCCTGGACTCCACTGCTAGCCACCATCCATCATCACTATACATTTATAAGATGGTGGTTGAAGGTAGTTGACAGTAAACCCTAGACTTACGTTTTCTTGCATTTTGACACTCATCAGGAACTCATACTCGTAATTTTAAAGAAACTGGTACTCCCTACGAATCCAATCCTGTATCACTCAGCTTTATAGTCATTTATAGACGTTACCACTCATCAATTCTGGCCATGACTAGCCTCCTGTAAGAGTGAAACATATTTAAAGTTGGCTAATCACTAAGTAGTGACCAATGTCGACTTGACTGATAGAATTTCATCAGCATTAAAAAGACCTTAATGTACATTGGTCATTTCTCAGTGATCAATCGATTGTAAACACACGTTAATGTTGCCTAACACCCGTACCACTTGCATTTTAAATAAAATCAACATTGATTCCGTGAGTTTTTTATCTGTTCAAATTTATATCCATTGAATTTCATTTATACCAGGTTGAGTGCAGATGATTCTTGCATTGATTTGTTTCAAGTCACACTCTAAATATATAATAGCTAATGATATTACACGGTTGACAAAACCGAAGTGTAGATAAAGCGGAGTTCAAAGCTAAGACATGATGGCTGTGAAAGTCGGATACCTTAATCGCTGTGGCACCGAACATAGTTCACTGTGCAACTGAATAATCACTAATCAGTGAAAACGTCATGTTCCGTCAAGATTGTACTTATCGCTTACTGATGAGTGTCGACTTGTAGAAAACCCAAGTCAGGTAAGTTTTCTTACCAACTACACTCCTACTGCTAAATAAGTCGGCATAATTTTTGGAAAAAGTGAAGTTTGTTTTATGCTGTAATATATAGCATTTATAATTTGATAATCGTACAATGTAAGAAGTAAATTTGCTGAAATGCGGTTCATTTGAGGATTTTTTTCATTTAATCATTATTTCTATCCCATTTGGATTTGAAAAATTACACCATAATTATGTATTAATTTTATAAACAGTATGTATGGTTCAGATGACTACCTTTTTATAGTTTAGAATCGTATTGCTAATTCATATTTTTCTGACCTAACATGCATATGTATACACATAGGTGAGTTTGTACTTTATAGCTCATGGTTTGTAATATATTGCATTGATTGACTCCTGTTAGTATGCATAACATTTGATAAATAATTTGTTAGGTGAGATAAGAAAAAACACCCCAAACGTCAATTTAGCATTTCTAAGCAATTATCATCATCAGTGAGCTAAGTATTCTGGTGGTCAGTTACCGAATACAGTTATAATTGGGGTTTATGGAAAGCTTATGATTTCGAAGAATTGAGAAGTTTTTGTTAAGGATGAGACTGATAGAAGGTTTATAAGTACGACGTCTGACACATAATAACCCACACGCCAAATAGAGAAGATGGAATTCTGAACGGAAGTCAAAAATTGAAATAGAACAACTCTATTTATATAACAATGCGTAGTGAGCTTGAGACTGAAAATGCTAACAACCAATAACAAATTGGTAAAGGTTGTTCTGGAAATATGAATTAGAAAAGTGTTATTGAGGTTATCCCTTATGGAAAGAACTAACTTTTATTACAGAAAAAATCAGATAACCTGTGAGCTTTTAGCAGCTGTTCACTTGGAAACTCATGTAACATGTACATACAACAACGTGCATCCTTCATAACTGTAGTGGGAGTTAATGTTACTGTTGTGTTTTGTTATTGGGGTTCAGTACGGCCTACAATGTTACGAAATTAGAAACGAAAACGATTGAGCTTCTCTAATACGATCGGTGCTCTTGGGAACTGACAACAGTCAATTATGCTCAACACATCAAATTTTGACGGTAAGATAAGAAGAAAACGGAATTATAGGTAACTTGATATTATGGCAGAACGAGGAACTCAAATGAAACTGGTACAAAGTTGTTACCATAGTCGTAGAATATGACCGAGCACATAGCAATTTAGCGAACTAAAAAACATGACTACCAATCAGGGAGCAAAGGTCATGCGGAAAATCGAATTGGTAAAAAATATGTGAGTGGTTATTGTTCAAGAGGAGATATTGGCATTTCTAATAAATTCTGACTATACTTGCGACGGCCCTAGCAGTTACATTATGAGGGTAAGTTTGCAACTAATAGTCAAGGTTAAATATGGTGATTCAGTGATAAGTTTTGGTTAACCATGAAATTTAAGTAAATGAATTGTTATGGTTTGGTTTCAACAGTGTCTGATGTCGAACGATTAGAATTCTTCTCAGCAATGTTTATATTATTCAACCATTTAATATTCAAGACTCGATTATGATCAGTTTTCAAAAATATATATCTTGAGAGGAGTTCCTCAAATTAGCCTTTTAGGTGTAAGTTTTATTATCGTACCAGTTAAACACAATGCTATCTGCTTAGGTTCAGTTGCTTAGTGTACAGTTCATTGACGTATAAAGTGAAGAGTGATAAATCCAATTTTGAATGTGAACATCAACATTAGAATCCAGGTACACTCAACTGACAAGTCCGAAATAGGATGGAAGACGTGTTTTGGATTTCATTGATAGCCACAAGTGAAATATATTTTTAAAAAATTTGAACTCTGTTACAATGTCTTTCAAATTGTAATTTTAGATTGTATTGCTTGATAACTGCAACTCGATTGGAGCTAACGGCAGTAACATAATTTATCACATATTATCGCATTTAGTAACAACAAAAATAAAGAGTTATTATAGTTCTAGAAATAAATGAAATGTGAACAATTAGGGATATCAATAACATTTGAGCAGTAATAATAATAATGATAACTGTAATGATGCACACTCACTTCTGAAGCAATATGAACGGCGACATCTAATTCAGTTTCTTGTGTCTCATAATTATGATGAATGCCTTCAACAGTTAAACTTAATCCAGCATCTAAGTTTGACAACAAAAAACAAAAACAAAAAAATGAAAATGCATGTGAAATAAAGTAGAAAAATGGTTTTGTAATGATTTATTTGCACAGATTAAGGATTATTTTCACTATGAACAAATGTGGTCATTAAAATCACTCTAAAAGACGAAGGAAGCAGTAGTTGGAATCTATATCATCTCCCTTTAATCCAGTGTGCAATCATTGATGTGTTTTTAAATTTATTACCAACTATTAATTATGTTGGTGATTTGCGTAGATCGTTGAGTTTTCGGTCTTAATACTAAGCACTAACTTTAGTTAGTTAACTAGTGGAAACCGGGAAAACTCTCGTCTTAAGTGAAATTCCTTAACAGTGTGCACGCATGAAACCCTGGTTGGTCAGCGAATAAACATTCTAAAAGAAAACATATTTTCTCTGAACATTCACGAATTAACTTACAATAAATTAAAAATTTCTCGCATCATTGTATATTTTGTGCTAATGTTTGTCCACTGAGACTAGGTATATGAAAATGGATGGCTCGAACATTCTTATTGCTATAAGCATAATGTTCAGCAGCCAATGTTTCGAGCTTCTATTTGGAATTGATAGTTGTTGTTAAGTTGTTTCAAATTACGGTGAAATATGTGTCCATGTATCGACTGTCGTTATAGCTGAGGTTATCCGCAACGTTTCAAGTACTAGCTGTATCTAATACTTTCAGTTATTTTTCCGTTCACTTAGAATATACTGATAATTTTAACTAAATATTTCATTTTCTAAGTCAAGAACTATCTGTTACCGTTCATGGTTAACTTATCAGTGCAAAGCAGCCAATAATTTAGTCGAATTGAGAGCTAGACAGGTAATCTTTAGTAAATAGATCGGAAAATACGACCGAAATTGTGGGCCACAACACACTTACTGAACGATGAAAACATTGGTTATAAACCTTAACCATCACCTTCAAAGGTTCCATAGTTTCTGACCAAAATTATATACATGAAAAGACCAACGAATACATCTATTTCATACTAAAATGGAAATTACTGTTCGACTATCAACTGGGATGAAATAAACAACCGACTCATGATCTCAACTGTTGAAATTACTACAATCTACACAAAACCCCTTCTGATAATAATATTGACAGATAATTCCCATTTAAACATTAAAATTAAAACACGAAGTTCAGCGAAGGGATCTCTTTTCAACGAATTTATTATTAAGCTGTACAATCGTATATAGATATGAGAATTTTTTGTTAAAGTACTGATTCCGTGAGGAAATGTGAACACAGTTAATGAAAAAGGTTATAATACTAGATTACGTAATATGGATAATAACAATAACAATAGATTTAGTGAATATAGTAAGATGATTAAAATGTTTTTTGTCATAATAATTAAAGGTCATAGAGGTGTAAAAATTAAAGTGATATGATGAGCGTTCATGAATATAACAATGAGGATATAAGACATAAGTAAAGGGGGAATGCAGCAATAATAATAATAATAATAATAATAATAATAATAGGATAATCAAAATAATTAAGAATATGAATAGAAGTAGTCACAACAAGAATTCTAGCTGTTCCGTTCCGAAGAAAAACCTTTATATAAGTCTGGAATTTAAAGGTGATCGAACGTCAGACGTTATCAAAAATCGTCTAACAACAACTATTAGAAGAACATTTAACGCAGCAAAACTGCGAATAACCTTCACTAGTAGAAACTTATTTTCTGTATCGATAAAAGATAAGCTTCCGCTTCTGGTCGCCTCCATGTGCATCTACCAGTTCACCTGCTCTTGGGGAGCAAGGTACATTGGCCGTAGCCAGCGCTCGCTTTCAACCCGGATACGGGAACATATCCCAGCTTGGTTCTATAAGGGTGAAAGGAAAGCAGTTAGGAGTTCTATACTTCAACACCTAATCGACTATAACCATTCTACAGATCCACAACTTGACTTTAAGGTTGTTTATATGATTCGTTCAAATCTACCCAGATTTCTTCGTATCCAACTTCTAAAAATACCCGAAGCTCTTACTATCCATGAGCTCAAGCCAGAAGTATGCGTACAAGAGAAGTATGTCCTATCGTTATCGTTACCTTGGCCTTAATTATTTTGATTATCCTACTATTATTATTATTATCATTGCTGCATTCCCCCTTTACTTATGTCTTATATCCTCATTGTTATATTCATGAACGCTCATCATATCACTTTAATTTTTTACACCTCTATGACCTTTAATTATTATGACAAAAAACATTTTAATCATCTTACTATATTCACTAAATCTATTGTTATTGTTATTATCCATATTACGTAATCTAGTATTATAACCTTTTTCATTAACTGTGTTCACATTTCCTCACGGAATCAGTACTTTAACAAAAAATTCTCATATCTATATACGATTGTACAGCTTAATAATAAATTCGTTGAAAAGAGATCTCTTCGCTGAAATTCGTGTTCTGAAAATAAACATTTAAATTTTGTGGGAACAACTGTTATTTGACCTACAATCGGTTTTAAAAATACAAACTACTTATGTAAACTTAGTAGTTATGTATCATAAAAAGTCAAAATTATTAAATCTAAATAAAACTTGTGCATTCATTTGCATAAATAAATTATTAACATTGATGCATTTGCCTTATTGCAAAGTAATTAAGTCTAAAGGATGAAATGCATTTGAAAGAAGAATTATCTAATCAATTCCTAGCTTCGATCAGTAAAATTTCTTTGAATTTCTGTGTTTATAAATTGGTTCGTTGTTGAAGATTAGTTTTATCCTGAATTGACAAGCAAGGTTTAATAAGGGACCGAGTAGTGCCTAGGCTCCATTTAGCAACCTTATAATAACTTTTGTGAATTATTTTTCGGGCCCCCGGAGGGTCTTAGGTTCTAGATCTAGGCTTTATGCTAATTATCACTAGTCGGTAAGGAGTAATTACAATCATGAGGAAACTGATATCCCCATGGGATTCTAAAACACAGTCAGTGACAAAAGAAACTATGTAAACAGCCAGCTATTCTCAATCTTTTTTTCTCACAACAACATTTAAATTACAAAACCTAACGACTAATCAAGTGGGGAATTAATTTTATCCAACAAATGAGATGTTCACACTCAGTATCCGTCAAAAATTGATCTTAATCGATATAAAACTTAAAAGCAGAACATGGGGCAAGTTCTTAATCGAAAGAGGGGACTCTTTAGCAATGTTCACGTATAACTTTCCGGTGAGTTCAAACTCGGGACTTTCGGGCCATTCGACGAACGCTTGGCCAACATAGCCATTGAATCGGCGTTCAAAAGCATAATTTCAACTTTAACTTGGGATATAATGCCACGTTTTTCTGATACTACTGATGAAAACGGTTTCACTGTGATATGTCTTAACTAAACCAGTCATAAATTTCATCAGAACTGTGTTCAATCCCATGTGGGATTGTAGATATGCAATATTAAAGATTCACATATTAAGAAGAAACAGCTATACCATTCTCTCTAGTTTCCAATGTTACCTTGATTGAGAACAGTGTGTAACAAAATACTACAAACAAATACCCACGAAAATTCCCATTCAGCTAAATAGAATACCTGTACTTTAGAGTTTGCCAAGATGGACACATAATGAGAAAATGTGTGATACAAAAGTGAATACATTTTGGTATAGTCTAAACTACAGTTTCTTAATTTTTTTCTCTACTTCAAAAAACTGCCTCTTTACCCCAAATCTCTGTTCTTGTTTTTGGACAAACACAATCTTAACTTTTTAGACATGGTAATCAATAAGTATTGCTTGTAACTTTTGTACGAGGGATGCGATGTGAACAAGTAACACCCTGTTATCATTTAGTTATACACACATATCTACGGCCTACAATAAATTATAATTATATTAGAAATATGTGTATGTCTAGATTTTTCATTACTTAGGTAAATGAGTTTTAATGTTACCAAGGAAATCAGACTGCCGAAAAATGAAGTAATAACACCTTTACTTAGTTTGTTATTATTTATTAGTCCACTGATAACTAACTTTCAATTAATGGGATGGTGAAATGATTTGTGCTTGTTAGCGGTAGAATAATAATAATCCCTCTATTCTTTAAATGAATGAATATTTTCAAGGGAGAAAAAAGAATTAAGAATGAACAGAAATCAGCTGAAGATTATGCATATATATGTTCTAGGTTTTAACCTATACTATGGTATATGAAGTTTATTGATATTCGCCTTTGTTGTCCATAACAATGTCGATGAATCTTTAAGTTAGTGTCTGAAAGTTAAACCCTTTAATTAATGAGCTCCCATTCCAGTGAAGCAGTAAACTAACCGTCTCTGTATCATAAGATGGCATTAGTTAGAATATATATATATATATATATATATATATATATATATATATATATATATATATATATGTCAGGATTGCATTGGATCTAGTGTCGAAAAGAGGAAATTTGGAAAAAAAGTTCGTTTAAACTTCTAATAAAATCATCTTCATCATGGTTTATATCCAGTTATTTATTTATTTGTTTACAAATAAATTCTAATATTTATTTTATACTGTCAACTAAGTGAGTTAATCCCCCCTCCCCCCCAAATAAATGTCCTTGAAAATGGATACAAATCAAAGTAAATAAACAAATTATTGAAGCTTAAATGAAAAAATACTACCTCAACTTAGTAGTGTAATGAAATTTTGAATTAGATTTAGGACATTGTACATAAATGACAAGTTTAAATCATATAAATATTCAAATAAAGTACATTTAAATTTGTGATTATATGTGTAAGATATCACAATCATTTGAATGTTGCGAATAAAATAACTTATATAATCGAAAAGGAAGAAATTCGTTATATCTTCAAGAAAAATTCGACTATCATTTAGTTTACCAACCAACACTGAATTCATTAGACCATTGGCAAGAATGATTAGATTTGAATTTTTATACAATAAATGGATTGTAGTTAACAGTGTCACATTGCGTTTTTAGCCTAGTGTATTTAATACTTATCCACTAAGCCACTGAGTCTAGATACTAACTACCTTATCAACAGTTATTTAAATAAGATCAGTTCGTGGTGTAAAATATGAAAATCAAGAGCTTCACAAACCAGCTCTGTACAGTCTGATTCATGATATGTCTAATAAAATTTAATTGATTTAAATTTGGAGAAAAGCAACTTGGCAAAAATCAATACATTTCGAACAGCATAATCATCCTGATTTAAATGGTCGATCTGAGAAATACACGAGCTAGGCTAATTAAGTTCTTGACAAGAGTTATAAGGATGATACAATGTCAAGATAACCATCAGCCGTATGTTTTGATTAAAATTTCAGGCGTATACAGGTGCTTTCCTTTTCTTTTACTTAATCATTATGTGAATGACTGCTAATTAACTGAACTGTAAGAATATTATCTGTGCAAACTATTTCAGTAAAAAGATTAAACAACAATCCATACCAACCTTTAAGGTCATCTAGGGATGTTCTGAGTGATATAAACATAAACATAACTAGTGTACTATTATAAATAAAGAGAATTTTGCAAGTATAATGTTGATACAAAAATTTTGTACGCTAATTTCTTCATAGCTTCAGTTAGCACATTGACTGAAGAAAGTTATATTTTGTCGTATCAACTGGATCCTTAATAACAACTTCCTAAATTGAACAATTCATTTACCCCTAGCTGATACAGTACATAAAATTAATTGATTAGATAATGGATAGGAAAAAATAATCACAAGTAAAATATATCTCTGATAGGTATAAAAGTATCTTCAGTCATAATCACAGTAGCGATTGAAAGAAAGTGAGCCAATCTCCATAGCTTTCTTCCAATCTACATAATCTACACACCAGGAAACATCGTTCATCAGGATAGACAATGGTGGTGAGACAATATCAACTTATCAATACTACTAACTTCTTACAAACATGATAATAATAATCAATAAACACAATACTAATCATATAACAAACCCTTAATATCTTCTTTAACTGTTTCACCAAGTGATCCAGAGGTAGCTAATTCAATACTAGAATCTGATTCAACATTATCCTCAACCCCAACAGATTTCATGTATAATTTATAAACATCCGATGTAGATGGATTGTTTAACTTAAATTGAATTATTTGACCATGAATTGTACGTGTACATGTAATAATGTCATTATTATCTGTACTACATTGTCCGTCTACGAAAATCGATCAACATAAAAGAACAGAAGATGTGAGATAATGAGATTTTGAACAACAACGAAAGACTACTTGATATCTATTCAAAAAAATCTATATTAGAAAGAGAATAAGTAAAATCAATTTTCTATAAGTAAATAGTTATTTGGATCTTGCGACTATTATTTTGGGCTGCAATGGATCAGTTCTTTTTTGATATGTATGAATTGCTTAGATATTAATATCAATTCAAAAGCATTGTTAGCAGAGATAGATTGTGGCAAGCAGTGGGATCCAGAATGTGCATTTCGTCATACTTAGGCCCCGTCGGTTGAATATGCCTATATACCACACTTTGTATTCGTTCCGGGACTCTAACGTGGTACTGTTCGTCTCAAACTCTATCACGCTATTTACTTAGGTACTGAATCCAGATAGCCACTGGCTGGAAGTCTAATTCATTTGTATTGGTTGGTTGAATCTTTTCACTGAGCACACTCTTGTATAAGTATACATCTTATATAAGTGTGTATTTATTAGATAGTTATTTTTAGTAATATTATTCTGGGTACCTTTTAATGTGAAAGAAGACGTCGCAGTTATTTACCTTACCTTTATGTTCCTTTTTATACATATAATATCGACTTTTCAAGATGGAGCTGAAAATAATTCATGTAGCCTAATGATACTCAATGTTATCCACAAAGTCTTACTATAGATTCAATTCTGAATAACAATACCATTTGGACATCTATACTAGGATGATTTGAGTAAAGAGTCTCCAAAAAGTTAGAACATGTACCCTGGATTTCACTTCTTATCTAAAGAACTTATGAACTCCGTTTTATGTATTATTATTATTCATAATTATTCATATTTTAAACCGGAAGAAATACTTCTCTTTATATTGTAATAATTTAATTGAAATAATGAGAATCGTGATCAAAACGTGTAATCAACTTAATACTTTACTTCAATAAAAATAATAGTAACGTATAATTATTTCAATAAATATTTCATAATTCCAATTAAATTTGTTTTCACATATACACATCTACAAATAGATTGTTACTATCTTATTTTTGTTCGAAGGATTATTAGAATACTAGCGGGCAATCCATCATTTAGCTTGATAAATATCCACTATATCACTGATGCTTAACTACATCAAGTGACCAACTTTCTTGATTACACCAGTTATTTAGTTTTTGCTAGTTGCCTTGAGATTTGAATTCTTTTAATTTCACGTTATAGTAGATTATGATTCGAGAAGGATGATTGAAATCATGAAATAAAAATGACAAATAATATAATTAAAAATTCTGGACCTGAGGAAAGACAAAGAATGAATGTATTTACACCACTGCAATCAATTCCGAGCTATGTCACTCTACGTTCCCAATAACTGGTTACAATAATTGACGAGACTCCACAATCAAGTGGTAATTAACACTTGCTGTAATGGATGCTGGTCACAAGGATGCTTGTAAGTAGTGTGTAACTGAATGTAGTTTCGAAGTTGCGACAATTGTGAAGGCTACCAGTGCATCAAAAGCACAGCGCTGGCAGAATATTTGGACACAAGACGAGAAGACAGAAAAAACCCAAAGATGCAAATGGACGACTGAAGGCTATGTATATGTATTATGTAAATGCCTAGTAACTTCTCGCAATAAACATACCTGCCTTCTGTCTAATGTCATATTTCACACTGCTAACGTTGATCATTCGCCAAAAATTAATGACTTCATAGACTGATATTATATTCGAGATTATCAAGAGATTTTATCCTGATTAATACACAAAATTGTTTCATGATAAATACATTTCAACAAGTAAGATTAAGCACAAATTTCCTTTGAAATTTTCATTGAACAAATAATATGATCGATAATTTTCGAGTAGTTTTTTTTCTCACTAAAGTATCGAGATATTACAATTATATCACAGAATACATCGTGTTGAATATTATCTTTTATTGGATTACAAATTAAAACGTTGTAGCAACTTATAAAGTTATGTAAATACATTTTATTTGACAGTAAAATACATAAAAATCAAAAGTTCGTAAAGGTTGTTTTATTCAAAGTTAATTTGCAAATGTACATTGACTGACATTAGCTAGGTTGACTCTTATTGAGATTACTGGATTCTGGTGTAAATGTTTAACCTTCATCAGGCTTTAATTGAAAGACTTATAATTCTTTGTCTCCATTTCAACAACGATCTCTACTAAAATTAACATATTTATGACAATTGTTCGTCCTCTGGTGACTAATATTTTATATGAGCTCTGAAAGTTTTATTAAGAAGACTGATGATTAATTTAAGCAGTTAGACTATGTTTAGATTAAGGTAAGTATCACTGATATTGTTTAAACTATCATTATGCAGGGTATCAGTTATATACATAAAATGAATGTTGTGGATGAACACAGTGTCTAAAGCATTCCAAATTACAGTAAAACATAAGAGACAAGTACCACAAAAGTTTATATATATATATATATATATATATATATATATATATATATATATATATATATATAAATTTACTATATCATTATCATAGTTTTGTACAAACCTTTAATTTGAACGCTGGCAACAACTTCATCTTCGGTCTCCCTGGAGGAACAACCAGAACGTTGTAAGGTTAATATCTTCAACTGATTATCGACATTATTTTCGTCTAATTGATGATAAGCTCTAATATCTAATAAATGTGAATCTCTTTCCCAAACCCATGCACGAACTGTATTCACCCCACTTGACGTAATAACTAAAATTAAAATTGTTGATAATAAATTAATTGACCGATTGGATTTGAAAAATATTTTTATTATATTATAGTTAACATTAAAAAGAATGATCTCAATTCAATGACCAAATGAAAATGAAGAAGCACTGAATAAGTTTCGCTTTAATATGGAACTTCTCAAAGGTGGGCATTCATGACCCAAGGGTCTTTCGTCTAGAACACAAGCGTTTAGTCTCTGAAACTCCCAGTCAGTGTTTTATTCATTCAGCAGAAGAACACTGCAGGCTACAGTGTAAGTAAATTTCATCAAAGATTTCAAGTAAATGGGTTGACGATTTTACTCAAACATACTTTATGCGCAATGTAGTACAGCCCAATATACTGGATTATAAACACACGTATATTGAAATTTAGAGTTCGAAGTTAATATCGCTAAAGCAAACTACACTTAACAAATAAACGAAAAAATTTACCACTAATGCTGAACATGCATGGTACATTTAATGGACATAATGAAAACATTGTGGATAATCTGCAGTAGAAATTGGTATTCTTAAAATTTTATCACCTATTTTGATGTGCGTTGTCTGATATTGAAACTACCTTTCTATACGCAAGCCCATAACCGACTTCCGAATGAGAAAACTACGAGTGAAAGAGGATGTTTATTGAACTTAAACGCTTCAGATGTATAAGCACAGCCTCCGCAAATCTACCTGTACTAATGTTCGATAATTACCAGAGTCAGTCATTGATTGAATACAGATACTCAAAGGTAACATCTCAAGCCTGTAAGTAGTGATGTAGGTAATCAACATTTGTTTGAATCCCATGATGGAAGTAAAAGTTCTTTTCCAAGACTATAGATTCCGTTTAGCTGATGGTTGAAAAAATGGGATGAACTATAAACTTCGTATTTTCTGTTGACTGAATCGAACAATCAGCTCGAAGTACGAACGCATGTTAGTGTGCGTTTCGGGTGAGTAGGAGAGTAAAAAGTACGATAACATTATGAGAAAAACTACTCATCCACGACTTACTCAATGCCCGAAAAACATCTTTAATCACAGATGGTGATTTTGCAGCTGATAAAGCTTTTGGCATACTCCATGTAACTGAGATCACGCTATTATCGACAGAATCTGGCCAAACATCTTGTAGTTCATATTTATAGACAGGTATAGACCATAGATCGGAACCAACATTAATGCCTGGAAACGCTTGTACACTTGTCTCTTCTATATTCTAGAAGAAAAAAACAAAAAATCGGTACACACAATCCACTTATGTTTATTGTAATTAGTCTTATGATTTGAATTATATTTATTATATATCACAAAGTCCCACTATTTCACAAATGACTAGGTCACACAAAACATATATATATATATAACTCATTCATTCTTATCATTCAGCAGCATTAAAACCGACAAATCATACACTTCTTAAGATTATTTCAACTTTCGTCAACCTTTCGTTCGACCTCTATTATATAACTTCACTATCAAAATCTTTTAAAGAAAACATATTAGCAATAATGATTCTTACTGCATTTGTTCTACTTCCTGCTTGTCCACCTTCTACAAATACCACACCAATTTGTACATCTTTTAACAGACTGTAACCAATAATATTGAATTTGAAGTAACTTTCATGTTCATTCTCTGGTAATTCAATGAATCCTACATGTGATTCAATTGTTTGTTCAGCAAATGTTGTCGTGTAATTTGTTTGAAAGATAAAATCTGCAATTTTGTTTTTGTAAAACAAGTAAAGTAAAAAAAGGAGAAATAGAATATCAAATTATTTATCTAGCAATTTCAGCAAATAGTACGCGTATTTCTGTGTTTAAATGAAGTGATTTCTGAAGGAGTAAATCAAGGAATTAAGAATGATTGTGAATGTAACGGAATTTATTAGATGACTGTAGGTAGTCGGCACGATACCCCTACTTGACCTAGGTTTGGTGCTAATATGACCGTATCGACAATGTGTACCTGCAATCTTGAGGGAAATGGTACTTTTTGTGATAATGGAAGCCCTGTTACTATATTTGCAACCTGTGAAATTACAACACAGAAGCGAAAGCAAAGATTGATCGCCCAAATTATTCACAATTGATTGGCTGTTGGTGTAGTGTTCAATGTCATGGTCGCCTACTCCTTTCAATACTGATAAAATCCAGTCGATTACATGCAAGACCAAAGCTTCCTATCTGTTATTTTCGACCATCTGATATAAAAATATATTGCATGCATGTGCGAACGCATAACCCTAGTATCGATCGGTCTTTCATTTCAATGAAACGCAACAACCTCCTCAACCCTATACTTAAAATATCATGTTCTCACTATTGATGAGCTTTGAGGGGAAATTTCCATAGTTCCAGTGTGAATCTGTGATCAGTGAAGCTATTCCGTGTCGGGTGTAAGACGGTTACCACCGGAGACAATGGGAGATGGTCGCGAAATATAGTGAGCTGATTGAAGTTAGACATCAACGCCGTTGGATGCTAGCTTAGTGGTCTAGAGGTTAAACGTTCTCGTACACGACTGAAGGTCCTCGTTTTGACTCCTAGCTGCGTTTTCACTGATGCACACTCCCGAGTAGTCCCATACTAGGAGTGAACGGGAGTCCAGTGGCTTCAAGTTATTAAATGGTGGTCTAACATTGATGGATAGTTGTTGAAAAGATATTTCAGCAAAAACTTTTCAATATTTAAGACTAAAGAATCTAAGAAACGAAACAAAGTAAAAATGTCTATGAAAAAAAATCATTTTTGGACAAGTCTTTATTGCCTTGAACTGTTTTGTTTTTAAAAAATAAATCTTCATTAGACATATTGATCCAATTATTTACAGAGTTTATTTTCTCTTATGAACAGGTGTCTACCTCACTTAGTCTAGATGGTATATGCATTGGATAGGTACAATGGAGTGAACAAAGAGCTAAACGGGAACCGTCCTAATGTGTTTGTGTTTATGTATGTATGTATAGGAATACAAAGAGTAGATATGGCAAAATAAGACATAATGTAGAAAACTAGAAATTATAACATACAATCAGATGATGCATCTATGTATCTGAATGAATAATTTTTCATGTATCAAAAGCAATCATTAAAATTTAATGTTATGTCCAGAATACATTCTAAGATTTCATGACATGTACTGTAATGAATATAAATACATATATACTTTAGCTATTATGATGATTACTACTATGACTTTAATTACTAATATTAGTTAGTAGTAGTATTGTCATAACTAACATCAGATAACTTAATTACAAGTAAGTATAGTTTTGATAACAAAAAGAAAACAGATTATTCGCGCAAAGCATATGGTTATTACTGATTATCATCAATATATATTCATCTCCACTCAACTGGCTTTGACTTTTAAAGAGGAGAGAGTAGAAAACTTGCAAAATTGGATGAGTTATTGAGTCGAGACATTTGGTTTATTTATCAGCATTCATGAAGATGACTATATCAGAGATGAAGAAACAGAATGTTATTAACAGTCTATATATATACTAGCACTTTGACATGGTGGTTAAGATTCGATACTTTGATAACTCGATCGAGCTATGTTAGTTCGAAAACTCATTTCTTTAAAACCTACCATCCCAGATAGGTTGACTGGCTAGTGACCTGACTGAAAACAGTGGGTGAATGTTGGAACGTGAATTTTCGATACCAGCTGTTCTGTGGTGGAACGGCTGAAAGGTGATTTGCTTAGACAATCGGCATGTTTAACGCCCAGTAGAAATACATTCATGTAGAGCTCAAATCGTTTACAATTATAGCGAAAATCTATTGTAACCATAGAGGAAAAATAACAGTGTTAGACATATCAAATGCCTGATTTTGTGCCTGTTGATTATTTATAGCAAGCAAATTAACACTAACCCTGGATTCATACCATAAACCTTTAATTCCTAAACGAATCCTAACTTGGTTGTGCAAAATCTTACGGATTAAATAATCATACGGGTGCCTATTTTATGTTTGAACAAAATTCACTCATAGATATAGTTGCAGAGCGCTTGTACATTATAGCTGATATCGGTTTTCGATGAAAATTATGACTCTAATTCTAACTAGGTACAATGTGGGAATCATTACAAATCTGTTTGGACCCTCAAAGGGTTTGAGAAGATGGACAGTCTATATCAAATTTCGTTGTTTTTTTAGGGTTAACTATCATTGTAACCTGTAGACGACATCAATAGACTTACTAATTGTGCAAAATCTGGTTATTTTTTTCAACATCCTTACTATCTTTCCCATAAACTATTAATATACAAAGGCTGTTTTGTGATTCGCTAAAAAATTACTGGAACTTCGTCGTGGTCGTTCTAAGTTTGTCCCTCTCGCTTAAATATCACCGCACAATAAATACAAGTATCACATAAGCATTAAATAAAACATTTAACTGTTTTTAATGAGAACTATTAATTTAAAAATACATTTTCTTACCTTCATCGAAATCTGTTGGCTTAAGATTTGTAGATAGCGAGAAAAGTTGTGATTTCTTATTGTCGGTAGCTTGGCAACTACACTGGTACTGACTGTAATATTGATGAGCTGGAAATACATTTGAAAAGAAAAACTCGAAACAATTACTAGTAAATCTCAATCTTTCAAGTTAATTCAGAATAATCTCATGAAAAAGTTTGAGAAAATAGTAAAACGATACTTAAATCCACAAAAAATAATATTTAAAAACCTTGATTTAAGTGGTTTGTGATGACTGATTTCATTTATGTTGCATTCCCCACAGATTGTTGTTAGTCAGGGTAACATGACAAATCAAGGAGCATTTCGACACATCTGTCTTGTACTGAAAAGTAATCAAACGTGTCGAAAATGAAATAGTTATCATCAATGGAATTCGATTTTCATTGCAAATTGTCTGAAGTTAGAATTATACCACTAGACGTCGACGCAATGGTTAAGAACTAGCTATGATACATGAAGATCCTGTGTTTGACCATTGGCAACGTCATAGAAGCACTTTGCAGTAGAAGTCCCATACTAGGAGGAAACATCTGCCCAATGCTTCTTGATTTTCAGTAGTACTCCAACTAAGGTCAACCTATGAAGAATGGAACCTATAGTAATAATAATAGGTGAGTTGCTAAGACAAGAATTATCTATATCTAATTTTTTTTTACAAACATTAACGCAACAGTCATTATCATCATCTCGATATGCATGATGTGTACTGAGACGATTCTATATCACTTTATACCCTGCTAATACAAATTTTTGTTGAAAATACCCGTATGACAGATTTGGGTACCAATTTTTAATGAGCGTATGTAACAATAAGATAATAATAGTAATATACCAACTGGTAATTTGAAAAACTTCAGTACAGAAATTACAAAACGCTATGAAGTTCAATCTTCCACACACAAACACATTCCCACATAAATCAAGGATAAAACAAGTGGAAATAAAAAAAGTGGATACATTCGGAGGTGTGTGTATCTGTGTCTATATATGTCGGGACGAAGGGAGTGGTTTAGTTTTTGTACGACAACTCAATTAGTATACACAGAAAAAAGAAACTGAAATTAATACAAAAAATATATCTTGTATAACAGATTCTCTAGAATTATTCTTGTTTCTCAGCAAAACAAACGAGTACTTGGAAGAGCAAATGAATTAGTAGATATTTTTAATTCAATAATGATAAGAGCGATAAACAACGTATAAATAAATCACATCATTATCTTAGTAAACGAATCCGTGAACATTTGATCAATAACATTTAATATTCATAGATATTGATAAAGAATAGTTTCCTTCTGTTTAAGATTAGTATTTTCTTATTGTTTTTAATGTTAAGGATTGTAAACCAGAGCAGATTGTCTCGATAATGTCACCAAGTTACACGTATTTAAGCAAACTTGGATAGTGGTTTGTAGTACGGAACAGAACAAGCGTTTCAACCGATTTGGAATATTAACTGGTTGTTACACTTCAGTATTGATATTCAAACGGTGACTTAAACCCAATACCTTCCGTTTCAAATCCTAAAGCATTATCCATTGAGCTACTGAGTTCAGATAAATATTAGTTTGGAAAACAGGTATAAATTTTATTTTTACGGTTTCTGTTTTCTTGGTTGTCGATTTTGAAAAAAACCCAGTGGCTATCTGGACCTAATAACCAAGTTAAAAACACGTTGTGCATGCTTGAGAAGAAAAGTACTGGTTTCGAAACTTAGTCCGAAAATCAGCAAGAGGATGCAGGTAGATATAAATATGTATCCTAAAATCCCACGCTAGCCAATATTCAACTTTATCGGGAATAACTTTCGCCTTAAAATTCCTTTACTTTTCCAAGGTGGTGCACAAGACTTATAACTTAATTCAGATGCAAGCTTTGGTAAGTGTTATGTCAGCCTTTGAACTGCATAATTTCATTTTTCCACAACAGTTGAATGACAATATCTAACTGCGATTTCAGTAAACGATATCTGGGAATAAGAAAATGGATCATTTACATTATCATATAAATTATGATTTTATTGATACGATTCAACTGCTCCCTACCTAGTCATTGTTCAGTCTGACAGGCTAGGGCAACTAAACATATCGGTTTATGGCCAAATAATGAGTGAGAGATGATGATGAGAGCAAGCTACTGGGTAAGATTTGGCTTAAATTGAAAAACATGACAGATATACGCCATTAGTTGAAAATATGGCCTGGTTTTCTGAGGGAAATATATTACATCTTTTTTTCTTTTATAAGTGAGTTGTGCATATATTTTAAAATTGATTATCAAATAAAATACTTGATTTTTCTACTCTAATAGCTGATTTGAGGACACCTAAAGGAAGTTTATACATCAGTGACAGACTTGGACAATGACAGAACATAACACATTCTCTGAAAGCCGCGACTCAGTATGAACTAACAAAAAATGAAAGTAAAGGATGGATAGGAGCGGCCTCAATTGATTACTATTAATAATTATTTCCGTTTCAAAATAGAAATAACAATACCGATGGTTTTTTTTAAAAAGTCAAACAGAATAAAGAAATTGAAAATGAAGACAAGACAAATGAAAATGCAAAAGTCAAGTGAGGATGAGAAATAAATTGTAATTAGGTAAGAATGAAAGGGGATACCTAGTTTGATTGGTAGAGGTTTTCGGAGTTGTTGTAACGCGTGTGACTGCAGGTTATGCTAGACAGCGTTTATATCGATCGATCACAGTAACACGGAAAACACGTATGAACGACCTAGTGCCCTGATTGGTCCCGCTTCGCTGTCTGTCCCAGCCAGTTGAGTGAAGAACGCAAGTCACAGCCTCTGAGTTATGAATCGTTGTATTTCAGACATACTTTGTTTATATACCAATCAAGCACACCACATCGTACCATAAAATAGGAAACAACATTTACAAAATATTTAACAAGTGAAATAAACATCGACCAATAAGAAATGTACATTTAAGGTCCAAGGACACCATAGACTTAACACGATAATTATTGGTATATTTTTCCGACTATCCTAACAGGAGTTTGGTTTATTTCGTGGGTTGTACAAGATTTATCTAAGTTGCGGTAAGATTGGGAATCAGGGAATACTAGAAGGCAGTTTCTTTCTGGATTGAGACTCTCTAGCAGCGCAAACTCATAATACTATAAGAATCAGAGTTTAGGACCCTCAGGTTTTTCAGAGAATGCTCCCTGGTGGGATCGAGGTTAAACGCGGCTAAAGAGACTTTTATAGCCCATTTTGACTTGAATCAAATTATATATTTCACACTTTATTTCATATATGTTCGTCGACTTAAACTCGTGTGTAATAATGTGAACTCGAAATGCTAAAAATACAAAATTTATGGAATATACATATATTCAAAGTATCTATATATGGCCAGACAAACGACGAATACAGTAGGAAAAATATGGAAATTTGACTTTGGCCACGATCACTGAACTAAAAAAAAATGCAGACTACGAGGTCAAACAATAATGTATACGATACATAAACAGATACATACTAACACATGTGCACACGGAATCTGGAAAAAGAAACAACCTATACGGGTGAATAATTACGCTCACGAATATATGTTCAATAGACTTACAATGATATTTTAGGAAATGTAGTTGAACAAAGGATCACAAAATACTTAATAGGATTACAATGACTTATTTTCTTATTCGAACTGAAATGGTTCGCTTATAGAGTTGCGGAAAGAATTCCTACAATTTCCATACTGGGATAAAACAATTGCCCAGTGTCCCTCGAATTTCAGTGGTATCCAAACGAGACCAATCTGTGACGAATACGACATTTGTGCTGGCTATCACTGAACATTAAGAGAATAAACAAAAACACTGACAACAAATTACTCATAATATGAAGTTGATTTTGTATAAGAAGAATGACGGAATAAATTTAGGTCGACCAATAACCATTCATAAAGCGATAATTGGTACAGTCTAATGCAATGAGCTTGACTCCATAGTCTACTTCGATGGATCATGTTTGCTGATGTAGGAGTGCCGGTTAAAAGAAAGCAAAAGGTGACCAAAATTAAGACGTGGCATCGATTTATCAAATGATTGAATATTACTTTGAGCCAATTTAGACGGTCCAAACTAATTGTTTGGAGTTATTGGAATTATCAAGATACATGCGAAAATATTTAGTGAAATGGCTCAAAATCGAATACAATGGTTCAGATGCATTTACTCCCATTATTTGTCACTAAATCTAGGGTTTTAAAATTATCTTATATTCTATTACTCCAAAAATTCCTTTTTCTTTTCGAATTATATTAACTCTGTTTATTATTTTCTACTACCAGTAAAACTGTTAATACCTCTATACTAGTCTGAAATTTATCTTGATAATTTGATTTTTATTGTACTAAATAGTAATGTACATTCATGCCAGTTTATCATACTGTTTGTGACCGACTGACTGAATAACTAGTAGAATATAAACAGTATAAACTAACTTCCACTTTGGTATGTTAAATAGTTTAAATTTATAAAACGAAGTACCGAGGGAGAAAATAAATGACAGCAAAAGTACGCAAATATTGATTAAACAATGGCAATTTTATCTTAGTTTCTGTCAAAACGTTTACTATTTTAAGCTTATTCTAATCAAATTTCTAAATTATTCACACATTGCAAAGCTGCCCAGTAATCATAATTCATACAGATATCTATGAATCCTACAACACTTTGTTTTTTACGTACTCTGTAAAACAGGAATTGAATTTCATCTGATAATTAACAGAGATAACCTATATATGACTTGAAAGGATTTCGCATCATGAACTCATGTTACCTGAAGAATTCATGTTAAATTAAGGAACAATGGACGGTTGTGTGATTCTTGATTAAAGTACCTAAAGCAGTGGGAACTTAACGTCATAAATAACATCAAACCGGCATTGTAATGAACACAGTACAGTTTAGTTATCCTCATTTTCTTACTTTAGCCAACTTGTGATGTAGCACACAATATTCATCCAATGTTTACTCTATAAATTAATACCTTATTACTATTCTTTTGTTGGTCGATCTCATAAGCCAAGGTAAA